TAGCCACCTGCTGGCCCTGCGATACGGCATATGACACAGCTACAGGGACATCCACCTTACGTTTCTTGGCAGGTTGGAGAACAGTTGAGATAGCATTAGACCTCCTTTCAGAATCCTGCTGCTCTGAAGATGACATGGCCTCAATGGTCTGGATCTGGATCTGTTGGCCCCCTTGTAGCTGAATGTGTTGGCCATCCTGGAGTTGAATATGCTGGCCACCTTGTAAATGAATTTGCTGTCCATCCTGTAGTTGAAAGTGCTGGCCATCTTGGAGTTGAATGTGCTGGCCATCCTGGAGTTGAATCTGCTGGCCAGCCTGGATTTGAATTTGCTGGCCACCTGGCAACTGAATATGCTGGATTTGTTGGCCGCTTGACAGCTGGATTTGTTGTCCTCCAGCTACAGCTGCAACCAGCTGCGCCTGAATCTGTGAAAAACAGTCAACATAGTTGAAAAGCAGCAATAATACATAGATGCACTTGATAATCTGGTTAGATTAGATTTGTGGACTGTTAGTATAAATGTATACCTGCTGCTGCTGCTCCTCTGTGAGCTCCCCCTGCTGAACAAGATGTGCTGCTTGGATTCCCTGCAGGTCCTGCTGGGAGGGAGAAGCCACCTGAAAAACCTGGCTCACTGCGTGACCCTGCTGCTCCTGAATCTGAACCTGGCACAGACGGAGAGCAGAAAAGAAAAGAAAGAAAAAACACTGAGCATGTCAAGTAGTCAACATGTTGGAGTGGGTTATGAAAGTATGTCAAATAAAATGTGTCTCGTGCATAGAAAGTTACACATGCTAAAAAAAATGTGAAAATTCACAGCAGAGTAGTGGCTATCATGTGATATTCAATAGAGGATTGGTCATGTTAAGAAATGTAAGGACATGAACAGAGATAAGCCCTATTCAGACTGCTGTTTCAAAGCAGAATATTCACACACCTGTAATATTTTACCTTCACTTTGAATGAGGCAGACACGTTATCAGGGGATCAAGTGATCCCCCCTAAATCCCGCCTTCAGGGTAAGTAACAAAGGTCTTACAGGGATGGGACGGGATTGGTGGAGCCAGCAGGATAGAACAGCGCTGTGTGTGTGTGCGCATGTCTGTGAGTGTATGCTGTGCCATGTTCTCGTAACACAATGTGATTTCCCAGACTGGGACACCATTATCACACCTTTGCAGAATCAAAATGAATGTTGAAAGGCTTAATGACAGATGAGCTTTGTTACGGAGCTGTTTTGGAATTGCACTGTGAAAAGGGCTACTGACACAAGTTCAGTGGTAGAGGGGAGTGGGGCAGTTGCTACTTTACTCTAACAAAAATTAACTGAACCAGACTGCCTTCTTTTCTGTTGTCCTCTTGACAGTAAGTAGCAAATATACTAATGGACCCACAACCCCTTTCTGTCTCGTGAATGTAAACCAAGTGTGATTTAAAAACTCACTTGCACTTGAAGCTGCTGTTCCGACTCCTGATGCACAGCCATGTGAGGTGAAATCCCTGCCGAGGTGACCTGTACCTGCTGTAAACATATAACGTGAAGTGCAGCATATAGTGAGGTTTTTCATAATAATAATAATTTTATACTTTATTGATCCCGCGAGGGGAAATTCGTTCTTACACTCTGTCTAGTGAACATGCTACACAAACATAGGCCGAAATACACACACATGCACAAACAGGACATGCACTAATGGAGAGCTCTCAGAGTGAGGGGGCTGCCCACAGTGGGTGCTCCTGAGCTGGTGGGGTGGGGGGCCCTACAGCCCCTACAGCCCCTACAGACTGAGCTACTGCCAACGACATCATTAAAAAACAAACAGCCTTAACAGAAAGGTGCAACTTCTCTTACCGGACAGGCCAGCTCTAAAAGAGAGCCTGCCACCTCTGTGCTGTCTGTGTAGATACAATTGGCACCCTGCTGTTGGTACACCATGGCTGTAGTGGTGGTGGTTGTGGTGGGTGCCCCTCCCTGCTGGCTGAACTCCTGCAGCACCTCTGGGCCCTTAGCGAGAGACTCCAGGAACTCCTTCATCCTGTGCTGAGGAACAGTGCGGGCCTTCTGCCGCACATACTCATCAAAGGAGACCACCCCACTCTCCTGCTCGTTCATCGTCAAAGGACCTGGAAGCAGAAGCAGACATTTACAAACATTTGAGCACATTATCAAGTCTAAAACAAGAGCAGATGTCATCACAAACACGTACAGACTCATGGATAACATTTAGTGGTCTAACGTCATCGACAATTATATAAGCAAGGCAAAAAACTACAAACTACAAACTACAAACTGCACGTGAATCCAAACAATCGACACATTAAAACATTAAAAGCAGAAGACAGTGCTTCTCTTGTCTGTCACAATGACTGAGCTACACTTTAATCAACGAAGCAGCTACTTTGGGGCTTACAGCTAAGTCTAAGTTCTTTTTACTTTTAAAGATTAAATAATTTATGAGTCCATATTAACAATTGTTTAACTAAATTTTAGCTGCTTGCTTAATAATAGCGTCTACGTTACCGCTAGTGGTTAGCATGCTAACTACAAAATGTTAGCATGGCACTGTGTTATCATAGCGCTGGCTGGCTAACAGCGGTTAAGTATTTTAAACAAAGTTGACCGACACTTTACACATCTGCTTTATATTATGAATCTAGGCTGTGTATTTAGTTCTAATAATACGATATCAAACATTAAAAGTCGTCCCGTTGAAATAACATGACGCTAGCTAATCATTGTGCTAGCCTTAGCTGGCTAGCTAGCTTGACGAGTGTGGATCCTGTCATGCTACCTTAAATAAAACGAAATCCCTCTCCTTTCCGCCAAGGCACGGTGTTTAAAACAGAAGGAAAAAAAAAATCCGATAAACATGGAACAGCGACCGGCAGCGTGTCGTTAACTGCGCTACATAGTAAGTGCAGCGGTGTTATCCAGCAAACAATGTTGTGATTAGATTGCGATAAAAATGTAAAGAGCAGCAGCGGGCGGGCGAAGGTCTGACGTCTGCTTGTTTTCAGAGGGAGATCCAGTCAGGAACACGTTTCCCTGCTCCAGGAAACCACACGTCGATTCATACAAACTGGATCCCGAGCGGGGTTTATCACGATTGGGCTTCACTAAACAGCGAAACATACGAAAAAAAAAAAAATCACTTCTTTTTTTTAATTCAGAGTTAATAATATTGAAGGTACAAGGCCACGATAACTGCGCGATTCCTCCGCAGACTGCAGCTCTGTGTTCACAGGCCTATCAGTGTCCCCTTTAACAAGAGGTCCCATCTTTAGACATTCAATATGTGGAAGGCTCTATGTGCAAAACTGACATGATATTTAGACATGCAAATGCTACCCCATGCAACATGTTGTAATTGTGCCTTATTATTCAGTAGTTTGTTAAAAAAAAAATCCCTAAAAAAAGAAGACTGGGCTACCTTGATGTGATATTGCATTTTATTTTTTTATAACCTACTGTTTTCTGTGTTGCACAGAACTGAATAGCAGGGAACTAGCAGCAGTACAACATGCACAGGTCATGTAGATAGGTAATGCGTAAAGCCATTTATCTAAGGCTCTTTAATTAAATTCAATTAACTTCATATTATGGTTGTATGATGATCTATTTCGGTCACAATACCAAAAGCATTGTGGATTAAATTCTCAAAGAAAATCTAGACAAATCCCCTCATTTGTCATACTTCCTCCACTTAGTGCAACTGTATCACTATGACTTTTAGTCTGTGGCACAGGACTCACTAACAGATTAGTTGAAACTGAACGTTACACATTTACTGAATGAAACAGTAGTAAAAGGCTGAGCAGCATGGGGTGTTGATGCTAGATAAAACAATTTGAATGCATGTACCTTTAACACATTTTAACTTGCCCAGTCTGCCTTAAAGAGCCAGGCATGTGCTACTGAGGGCCTCCCCCTGTTCTCCCCACAACAAACTGCCTCTCGCCCATCTTAAGGTGGACCAGCACAGATGCACTGTGTGAATAGGATATCTCCTTTACACACTGGATAGCAAAGAGTTAATTCCCACACTCAGTGCAGACTATCTGATTTTGCCAGGGATATCTGGTGGGGTTGTTGCCGGTATTTATGCACATGTATAAATATAAATGAATATGGTATCAACTCATGTTTATACAGACTGCTCAAAAAAGAAAACATCAGAGAAATAATCTTGGGAAATCACAGGGCTTGTAAATTCATTTTAACATATAGTATTTATATCATAGCCTATATGAACATAAAACCAAAAATTCAAGCATGCTAGTGCCTATTGGCCTCTCATTATGACTTCATTTCACTTTGTGCTACTGTAAGAATCTTCATGTAATCCTTTAGAGAACGGATTTATCTTGACGCATCATTTGCAGAAAGATGCAGATGAGGCTTGTTGTCTTGTATTAATAGAAAGTCAACTAAAACATAGGTTCACATTTCTAATCTAAATATGTAAATACAATAACCTGCAAGGCCTTTATTCAGGCTCCATTTGTAGAATAGTCTCCTGGTAGTTTGGACCATTTTTTGCAGGTGACATCAGGATGGGAGGCTGCCAAGTAACCAGCTGGTGCAGTAATAGGAATGAGACATATGCTTCCAGGCTAGATGGCTGTAAACGTGGCCTTAAATCCAATGTGTGCACTCACTGTAATGCTCTTTATGCACAACATCAGCAATCAGATTGCACACAACACACTTTTTTCAGCTAGAGACAATGGAGAGCAGCCCGTGACACACTAACAGGAAGCAGACCACTAAAAGGCTTAACAGGTACATCTGAATTATCAACTTTAATCGATCATTTGTTAGTCTTTGCTTAAGTTATAGGAGCTACCAAGGCTCTGGGAGATACTGTTTTGGCAATGAGATATTGTTTTGGTAATGTTGGGGAATTACTTTTAGTAATGGTTTGATAGGTCGCTACATTCCACTCCAAATTGCATGTAAATCTTTATTGATGGAGTGCACTATTTATTGGACAGAAAACTTAACCCAACTTAAAGTTTGTATGACAATAATTTAAAGCAAAAGTTAGGGTTAACATAAATATGAAAAGAAATCAAAAACATTAATTCATTATCTCTGTTCCCCTGAGGTTGCATTTTGGAAATCAAATCACATGAGAGAACTGTTAAAGCATGCTGGGAATAACATGCTTTGCACTTGTGCTGTGTTGCACTTGTATAATTTAGGTCTTTATTCTTGAAATCTTTCCTCTTTTCTTGATATTTTACTACTTTAGATGGGTCAGCCTATCATCAACAGACGCTGTGAAGTGACTGCGCACGTGGGAATTACCCTCCTTCTTAGGATTGAAGCACGAGATTAATTATCTGGGAATCTGTTTGACTCTTACCTCTTAAGTCTTTATTTCAGCTCGTGCAGTTGTCGGAAGCATAGATTAACCGTTCCTCTTCCATGCTGTTCTACAGGTCTTTGGATTTTTCAACAAAAATGGGACTTTCTTCTTTGCTCTATATTACGCTAACACTACCGCTCGCATCACTTGGAAGCTTTATTCAAACTGCAAATTTACCGGACAAATCTGACAATAGCCAAAAGTATGGAATCCCAGGCGGATACATCAATGACCCATTCATCTTGGCCAGTAAAGATATCTTACATTCAGAGAGCATAGGCGACTCTTTGGAGGGCAGTGGACTTACTGGAGATGGTACAGCATTGAAGCTCATCAGTCATATCAATCCAGAGGAGCATAATCAAGTCGGCAATGAAAACCCTTCTGGACCAGAAATCACATTAACTAAAACACAGGATCTCACTCTACTCCACTCAGAGGCTGGTGACCCAGGAGAGGACAAGGCTAATACTCATTCCAGTGTGCACATTATCTCAGAGGGAGCTCTCATAGAAGACAGCCTCTCTGCAGCTGAAGAACAGTTAGAAAAGATACAATCATCCAAAGTTGATGAAGACCTTCTGGATCGTAAGTCAACATTTGACAGTAGATTAAGGTTGAGACATATTGTAAACCATAGAATCCCGATAGTTCTTCAAAATGAAAATTCAATGTTTTTTGGAAATTCTCTACATTAGCAAATCCATTTCATTAAACAAACTTTCTGTGTTTCTTTCTCTCCTTGTCCCTAATTTTCAGCTTGGAAAAGCCCGAAACTTCCAGTTCAAAACAACAAATTTACGGCCCTAACCAAGCAGGACTTGTCAGGACCTGGGGTATCATGTGTTCACGGTCCTTGTGTTGTTTTTACAAACTTTAATGGCACCAATCTGCTTTGGGAGGATATGAGGCGCACACTGGCATTTGCCTGGGAGCTGCATGTCTTTGGATCAGCAAGTCTTTTCATATTGATAGCAGTATTGGCGATTATAGGAACAGCTGGCGCATGCACTCGTCCTCGTCCCTTCTGTGATGCCCTGATCCAGGCGAATATGCTTCTGATCCTGAGTGGTACTCTGCGGGGTGTCCTCCTTCTACTAGATCCTTACGGCACCCGTCAGGTCCTGTCTCGAGCGACTCTGGCAGCACTGCATAATGTTCCCCTTCAGCTCCTCCTGTGGGCACAGGTTATTCTAGCTCTGGTCGCACTCAGAGGGTTGAATCTGATGCTTTTCCCTCTGAAGCTGCAGCGCCCGTGGGTGGTTGGAGTGCTGGCTATATCAATATGTACTTCATTACTTGTGGCAGACCTTTTCTCTCAAACTTTGTCCCCTGCTCTCCCTCTTTTGCTACAGACACTTTCCCTCTGCTGGGGCCTCCCATTTTGCATTGTAATCCTCATTAAGTCATTTTCTCATTTACATCCCTTTCTCAGGTCCTCTGTCCCTCAGTGGGTTCCTTCACAGAGGATTGAAAGGCGAGCAAAGCGAGTTGCAGCAGTTTCCGCCTTCCTGGGGGTTCTATGCTGCAGCCTTCAGATGCATAGTCTCTTTTGGCTTTATGGACTACTGGGGAACTGGAGACGCTTTGGCTGGGGCTGGTGGCTTAGTCAGTTTTCTGCCAGAATTCTTGAGGTATCCTGGGGGTTTTCTTTGCTTGTTCTTGGATCCTGGACCTTCTGGACGCCCTCTATGGTTCAATCAAGGGGTGATCCTGGGCAGAGTAGAAGTGAGACATCTAAAAATCTTGATGGAAAAAGCTTGTGGGGTTCTCTCTTGGCCCGCATACAGAAAGGTTCATTAACAAAATCTGAGAAAACATGGGAAGACCTCATGCCAAGCAACTGGGCAATGTATAACCTTACAAGAACAGGATTTAACAATAGCGCAATGTGTCCGTATGATGATCAACCATCAACCATTACACCAGAATACAAAACGGATCCTCGTTGCAACAACAGCTCCTCTGACTCTCAGGCTGCAATATTATGGCAAAAAAAAGTTAGTGAGCGCGATTGCATTCTTTCACTCATAGAATTTGACATAGGTCCTCCATCTCCTATCAACCTTAGACACAACGTTAACAATGCCGTCCATCACGAACAGCTAGTGGCAGGAGGCCTTTTTATAGCTCCTATCTCCTCTTGGACCGTTGGTAGAGGCATCCCTGGCAGAGATGGTGGCGCAACAACTTTCCCCACAGGTGATGTTAGATACTGTTGGACAATGGACATGGAGTCTGAAGAGCCCCTACAGTCACCCTGTGCTGTTTATTGTGATGGTGATGTTTGGTCTCAAGCCACTGCATATTGGACGGAAGAATCTAATTCAGCAGGGATGTATCCACAAGACTGGTCTGATGATGATGTTACTGACCTCTGAGCTGTCTACTTAGGGGATCCTTCTCTATCATCTACCCTTCATGAAATTGCTATTATTCAGATGGCGATTATTTGGTAAGCTGAATGCAGTTTAAATATTGTGCTACTAGGCTCGAGGTAACAGAAACTCTGACAAATTAAAACACTTCCAACGATTACTCAAGTGAAAACTGAAGGGACATTCAGCCATATCTCATTGCAAAAAAAACAAACATATTTGATAACTCCTACCTTTTAGACCACGGCTGATTGTATACCATTCAAGCCCCTTTAGATGATAGCACTGTTTTACAAAGTTCCGCTTTGGAATATGAAAGTTTAAAAATGAATTCTGAAACATCAGCTCACTGGACACATTTTTTTTAAGCCTGGAAGTAAAAGACCCTGGAACTTTCCTATTGTATCATGTTATATTATCAAGCTGCAATTTTGCAATTTAAGCCAATTGCAGGCAATTGGTGGTAGCCAATAGGGTATAAAATACATCAGTATGCTTTTAAATATGGTCCCATTAGATTGTCACTCTCTACTGTCTTTTCAGTTGTTTATCAATTTGGAGGCTGAGAAATGATAAGAACTAGTAAGATTGTCTATGTCAATTAGAAACCAATAAGCATCCAACAACAATATTTGATACCAGAGCCCTGGATTTATACTCAAACCTTTTAATGATATTTGTAATACTGTGTCTGTTTTGTAAAAGATAACGGTGAGGCCATTGCTCTGACAGTTTCAAGAACCGTTCTGTCACACCTTGTCATGACTCTTTGACTTTAAAAGGGTCTTCTGAGTAATTTCAGGTTTTCTATGAATGAATTCCGATCATAACAAGTGGAGTATTACACATTTTATCAAACAGTAAGCTTGGAAATCATTTCATCTCAGTCTACACCTCTCCTCATGACTTTATTACGTTAATGCTGTACCTTCACTGGCATTTGTTCAGGTCACCTTTGACAATGTGTGATGCTGCTTTGTACCTCTGTATAAAATTGACATGATTGGATCTTGTCATTTTATTGTTTGTAAATAAAAATAATAAAAAAGTTTGAGAGCAGAATTGTTTTATTTTAACAATCAGTGGGAATCATTTATTACTTTTTGTGTAGCAAAGTTTGCAGAGAACTCCAAAGATTTAATTCCCCACCTTTATACCAACATTACTAATAAATCAGTAGAAATCTATTTGACCAATGTGTTTTTTCTTCTTCAGTAATTTGTAATATTAATTATTATTATGACAAATGATGAATTATCTTTAATTAGATATGTCTAAAAGCCTCAGTTAGATAATGATATATGGTTCAAGCGCAACACAGTTTACTTGCCTTCTAGTTTGACAAATAGGGTGTTGAAAATCCACTCCTGCTAAATCAGAGGCCCTCTTATGTTAAATAGGCCTAATCAAAGAGATCCAGTGAATCTGATCCAAGACAGCCTACTAATGCCGATGATTTCCATCTGGCATCTCCTGACTGATTTAAGCCCTGATTAAAATAATAGTACTGATTTTATTTACACATGAACTATAGGTCACCCAGAGGTGAAATTGTTTTCCTGATCACTTGTTTTCATGTGCCAACATGCAGTTTGCAAGTAAAGACATTTTGTGTTTTATAGCTGCAACCTGCAGCTTATTATATTGATGATAAGTGAATGTCTATCAAATTGGAGAAATAGATTTTTTTAATATCTTTCAAGGATATAATATTTTATCTGACTTGTTTTGCTGCTGTTAACCTCTCTGCTTAATGTAGTTAACATTTGTTGTCTTAACATGCACTCAGTGATTGGCACCAGTATCTTGAATCAAATGATTTAAATCAATAAAACAGCTAGCAGCCTATTTCTCCATGTGTTGAGTCATTTTTATGTTGGACAAAGCCCGCCCCCAACCCAAGTTTGACATTCCTGCTCTATAGAGTCTATAGTCACTTCAGCAGTGTATGACTCAGCCACACACTGTTACCTGTCTGAGTCTGTGAGCGAGGGTACCTGCTGAACTGACATGCTGCAGCAACAATTGACATTAAATATTATTTATCATTATTACATACAGTATGATATATAAATTATATAAAAAAAACATATGAGAAAAGAAGATGTTTTTAAAAAAAAAACATAGGTGTGAATTATTATGATATGTTGTAGTGTTTGCACATAACTTTCATGAATAACTTAAACAAATAATGATTAATTAAGGCTATATTTCGTTCTTACAAAAATATACCATTTTTACAAAGATTGAGTAGCATATCGATTGATGATGTTTGGACTACTGCTGGCAAGGCAACCTTGAGATTAAAATCTTTGACTACATCTCCCAGAACACACCGCAGATGTGTTTGGTGTTACGTCTTAACTGGCATTTCCTTTTACTGTCACTGAAGTAAAAAGACAAAGGTTCCCGTGTTATACCACTTTGTTGTGCTCTGACATGTTATTGAACCAACACATTGTAGCTCCCGATCCCGATGCATAGCCACTGCAGTAAGGTTAACCTGTATTTGTCTTCGTTACTCAATAATAAGGTACAGTAGCTAGCTGACGTACCCGAACAAAGTTAGATGACATTAATACGTTAGGTAGACGTGCACTTTGGAAAGTATTGTATTTGACCTCCTGCTGTGTTATAATGTTTTCATTTCGTTGACATTTACGCACATAATCACAGTACAGGCCAAATATTGTTACAAGTTGTAGTAAGTGTAGACATGTAGTCATACAGCTTAGCATTCAGTGACATGCTATCGCCCCTCTGAAGAAGAAGTGGTTGCAAAATAATATTTACTTCACTATTTGATTAGTTTAGTTTAGTTTATTTGCACAGGTAGAAACCCTGAGGTCTTATCTCAAAACCTCACTAAACAATTAAACAAAGTTAAAAAAATATATTACTATAACAAAGTAAAAATTCAATCTATCACAAATATGTTTTACCCAAATTGAAACTTACATCTTTACCTTAAAACAATAAAATAGAGAAGTATTTAGAAAATATAACAAAATCGGGACAATTCACTATTCACTACAATTCTTGCTGACAGTTACATTGTTTTCAGTCAGTAATTCTATGTTGTCATTTCATAGATGAGATTGCTATGGCAGATCCTCTACCTTCACCCAGCACGTGTCAGGAGGTCATCTTCAACATCTGCAGGTGTGGTGAACTTTGTCCCCGTCTGCAGCTCCACTGATTCTACCTCCCGTAAGCTGCTGCAGGACTTTGTGTCCCGATCAACACGCCTGTTTGTCATCACTGGAGCAGGGCTCTCCACTGAGTCGGGGATCCCAGATTATCGTTCAGAGGGGGTCGGGCTGTACGCTCGCACTGACAGACGACCAATGCAACATGCAGAGTTTGTCCGCAGTGCAAAGTCCCGTCAGCGCTACTGGGCTAGAAACTTTGTCGGATGGCCGCAGTTCTCCTCCCATCAGCCTAACTCTGCACACAGGATCCTGCAGAGATGGGAGGAGAGAGGTAAGCTAAACTGGGTGGTTACACAGAATGTGGATGCTCTTCATTCAAAGGCAGGGCAGAAGAGACTGACTGAGCTCCATGGCTGTGCCCACAGGTGAGAAAACATCCTCTGATATACAGTATCTCATCATGATTATGTGCTTATAGTATGTTGGGATTAGAGTCTCACTTGTGTTTGGTCAGGTATTCATGGAAAATGAAAAGCTACACCATCCCTTTGCCTATCCAGTAACATTCATTAAAAGATTGAATGTAAGGATTCATATTCTATATCTGTCCTCAGGGTGATGTGTCTCGGCTGTGGTGCCATCTCAGCGAGGGGGGCACTCCAGAAACGTTTTTTAGCTCTGAACCCAGCCTGGAGTGCACAGGCAGGTGGGGTGGCCCCTGATGGTGACGTCTTCTTAGACGACGAGCAGGTCCTCCATTTCAGAGTCCCGTCCTGCGAGGACTGTGGAGGAACACTAAAACCTGAGGTCACATTTTTCGGAGACACTGTGAACAAAGCAACGGTACAGTTTGTGCACGACAGACTGGCAGAGTCGGACGCTGTGCTTGTTGTGGGCTCGTCGTTACAGGTAGGTTTTATTGAAACATGAAACACATTGTTCAAAATAAGAACTTTGAGTAAGAACTAAGCCTTCTGGAATTTCATTTTTAATTGTGTCCCTCTCTGTTAATCCCAAGGTTTATTCAGGATACAGGTTTTTACTGGCAGCAAGTGATAGAAAAATACCGGTTGCCATCCTGAACATTGGGTCGACGAGGGCAGACCACCTGGCCCAGCTGAAAGTGAGCGGCCGCTGTGGTGAGGTGCTGTCAGTCATTCAGCCTCTCTGACTTGTCAAGGACATTCAGTCTGGATTCCCTGTATTACGTTTGTCGAACTACCTCAGATTTAAACTCTAAAATCAACTTCAGGGGCGCTGGTGGCGCAGTGGTTATTGCGCGCGCCCCACGTATGGAGGTTGTCGTCTCAAGCGGGCAGCCGGGTTCGCCTCCCACCTGTGGCATCTTTCCCGCATGTCATTCTCCACTCTCTCTCCCTGATTTCCGACTCTATCCACTGTCCTATCTATCCATTAAAGGCACAAAAAAAGCCCCCCCAAAAATAGAATCCACTTCAGGATGTGGATTGCATTTTGACTGCTCCTCATGGAGAATTTGTATCTGTTATCAAAGCAGAGCAGAAACAGAAAACGTTTTTATTCTATGCAGAACAATTAAATGCTTAGAAACAAGTTGTAATAATTTATCAGACTTTTGTGACTCCAACAGATAAGTATCATAGGGTTGCTATATTGGTGCTGCCAGGATAAACTAGAGCACTTAACTTATACTGTATCACATAATACGTGCAATAAATGATGCAGCATGTGTGGCTCACTGTCTGAAGGCTTTGAGTGGAAAACTGAAATTGCAAGGTTAGATCTGGTTGATGGCTTGTTTTCCTAATTCTGATGATTGGTGTTATTAAGAATATACAAACTATTAGATGTTTGTTGAAGTTCAAACTGAAGAAATGTTCAAATCCTGTTCTAGATATACTGAATTTAGGGCCCAAAGAGATAATAAAACATGTTCTACACTCAGCTGTGTGTAAAGTGTGTCAAGGAACAGATCGTTCTCATGTATTAGTATATCTCTGACTTTATCGACAGATACACTGTACATTTTAACTGCTAACAATTAACAGATTGGACCCTTACTCTACTTTTAACACATAGACACTGTTAAATGTAAAGGCTTAAGGTTGCAGTCTGTGAAGCTGTGGATCTTAATTTACTGGTTTTAGATTTTATATTCAAATTTTCTGGCACAAAAATGTTCTTGTCCGTTTTTATATAACTTAATATATAGTATAGGAAACTGTCAAAGTGGAGCAAACACAATGTTTGTGAATAAAAAAATCACAAGCTTTGTTCTCGATAGGAATATGGGTCACCACTTGTGTCTGCTTGAAATAGAATATTTTATCACTCAAAATGAGTTACGAACAGAGCGTAGAATATGAAATTAAAGATTTATCAATCTCACAACCTGAGTTGTTCAATTCTCCATGAGGGATTTATTTCCTTCCTCAGAATGACACAAACTTAACACTTGGCTTTAGATGAATATTTATTACAAATAAATTATAGAATAAAATGTGAATTAATGAGCAGGAATAATGGTTACAATAATAACACCAGTGTATGTAATAGCCTAGATGAAATGATGACACAATTAAAGTTAATCCAACTTTCACTTGGTGAAAGAATCAGAGTTGAACAATGAAGTTAGCCTGATTATGCAGAGGGAGGGAATTATGACTGATTGTATAAAGATTATGTAGAATCATCTTACAGAGCAGAGCTTATCAGACTTCAACCCGTTATCGCAGCAACTGTGGTTTGACTGGAATATTCCTACTTTAGAAGTCTGGGGTTGGTTGAGGAAAAGTCCTGCTCTTCTTTGAAAATAATCTGAGAAGTGGAGGAATTGCTGCTACATCAGTATGAAGTGAACTTAACATGACTGGTGATAATAAAATAAATGGTCCAGCATCACCTTAAGAGAAAACTGAAACATGCTGCAGATAAATAGTCAGAAACAAAAAATAAATCTTGAACAGTTTATTTGAAAGACAGACATGTTAGCATCACAAACACACAGAGGGCAGAGTGACCGTTGACTGACAGACTGTGAGATCCTTCAGCACATTTTGCTGCTGAAATCTTTCCCGTAGAGAAATCCTCCAGTTTTCCAGCTTGTGCGGCATCTCTTGAAGGAGAACCGCAGGCACGCTGAAGGAGTAGAGACAACATCTGTGGCCCGCCTGCCATGCTGCTGAAGCTGTGGTCACCGTCAGCGGGGTCATAGACAAACAGTTTTCAAAGCTCTTGGTCTGATCAAACCAGTATGTGACAGGGTAACCCAGTAAGAGACCAAACACTGTGCACAGGTTCCACTCCTCGGATTTCTCTCCAACAGTATGAGCTTTGTCAGTCTCCTTCAGGTCTTCGATCACTCTGAGGAGAAGCAGTAAATCGTGTGTCATGCTCTTCAGCTCTGCTCTGAGTGGGTCAGTGATGGTGGGCTTCTCCAGCGTGTGACAAATATCAACAACTGTCACATTTCCATAATCAATCAGCTGCTCTAAATTAAATCTGGCGGCAACTGGATTTACAATAAGAGTGTTTCCATTTAAATCCAATGTGTGAAGTGATTTAGACACAAGCTGGGAGGATTGCAGGGAGCTCAAATACTGCTGCACCTGATCTACACTTGCCCCGTTGCTGTCATACAATATAGCTGGTTTCAATCCCACATCTAAGGCTGAGACCTGAACAGCCAGGTCTAGACTCTGGGAGACTGACAGGGATTTTCTACCTGCAGACAGACATTGACGAGCGGCAGCAACAAAGAGCTCCTGAGTGGACATAGCAGTGGGGATCACATGACACCAAATGTACAAAAAAAAAAAGAAAAGAAAAAGATAATTCAAAGACTGAACAAACCTATTTCCTGTATATAACAAGAACAAAGACCTAACTGAATGTAAACTCTTCTCTTTAGATTTAAACAGAAAAGTGAAACTAATCCAGGTTAACATGATTTTTTATATAAAAGTTTCATTCTTATCCATTGTTTCTTTTTGTTGGTCCAAGACACCTTAAAGAACAAAAAACAAGTCAAAGAGTTGAAACAAGTGTGTAAAAAAAAAAAGCTTCATCAGCGAATTACTTGAAAGTAAATGAATAAAATTGATGAGATTACCATCATCCTGGTTTTTAAGGTTATGTAACAGGCTGAGGAGACATGAGGTCAAAATCTGACAGATTTCTTGCAACCCAAACACCAGCAGCAAACAAGCCCAGGTTGACCAGAAGATTCCTGTTGACAAAAAAAGGGCTTTAATATAAGAGACATTCAATTATATTTAAAAGTCCTGTCCGGACCGGCATTCATAGCTAACATCATAAAATACAACAACAGTAGGCCAGTTGAAAATATAAGTACTCCCCGGTTACTCCTGCCAGATAAAGTGTCCATAGGGCCCCCTGGTGTGCACAGTTGTTTTTTAGTTTGACAAACCAAACACTTTGTGGTCACATAATAAGCATCCTAACACATATAAATGTTGATGAGGTATTAAAGTTTTATTTTGTTTTTTAGGCATTCAACTGTAAAATAAAATAAAAATAATAATAACTTAGAAAATAAAGCCAAACATATTTAGTCTCTTCTCTCTTCAGATGTTGTAATAATTCTCCATGACTGTCTGCACCCACATCTACCAGCCTGTCTTAGCAGATATCCATCCAGCCAATTTCATAATCACAAAGTGAAACCTTTCATGTTATGAGGCTTGAAATTATTTTACTTTTAATTATTATTTCACAACACAACCCCCCCCTTGTGAAATCCACATAATAACACATGGCTCACAAAGGTCATGCAACAAACACTGTGTCTTAATGGTGCAGTTTCCCGAGCAGTGAAATACTTTCTTTTAACACAGTAGTAGTTTAACACTGGTTTGTGCTCCAGCTTCAATAGTGAAGAATAAATAGATTTGACTTGTCTAAAGAACTGAGAGAGATTGTCCAAGGCCCAATCTCACAGTGTGTTCAGCTACAAGGGCAACGACCACACTGTTCAGACACATCATCACATCTTTTATTCACAGCTCACCTTCTGAAGTCGTTTCTATCTGCTGCGAAACGACAAGCTGAGCCGATCCACTCCATCACACCGGAGGAAGAACTCTTTTTACCGTTTGATCCGCTCATCTTGCAAAATGTGCGACGAAGCCGACAGGAACAAGCAACGAGAGGAGGGGGGGGGGAGCAACAGGAAGCGGAAGAGTTTTGGTGTAACACGCGTACGGCGTGCGATAAAGCTCAAACTTCAGTCGTGTTTTCCACAAGTCGAGATTTAAATAGATATAAATCCGAAGATGTCTGCCACCAGGTATCGTCGGTTTTTAAAGCTCTGCGAGGAATGGCCACGGGACGAATCTAAGAAAGGTCGTGATTTGGGGACGTTTTTGCGGCAGAGGGTAGCTTCAGCTTTCCGTGAGGGCGAAAATACACAGGTACGAAACTAAGAGGACACACGTCTGTCCCTCTGTCAGCTACATAACTCACTGAGCTAAGTGGATAACTGGGATGAGCGCTAACAGCCTCGACCTTGACTGCTGTATTCAATGTTTAATACCTTTAAAAATACATTAAAAAAATAGCCTTAAGATTGTGCCACATTTTACCTAAACAAATGACATTATTTATATGAACAAACCAGAAAAGCACAACAATTATAATGTAAACATTGTTTCATAAGTGGCAGAGGGTTAACCCTCTAAAGTGAATACACTTTGAAGTTACTTACACTTACAACTATATACTACTGTCTTACAGAAAATATGCCTCTTTTGACACTACTTACTTTATAGTGAGGGTAGTGGGATAAGTACTACTGATATTGGATAAAAGAAGTTAACAAAAACAGCTGTCCAAATTGACATTTCCCAATATTTTTAAATTTACAGAATGTATGAAGTAGTTACTCTGAGTAATTACTTTTTAGTTTATTATTTAATTCAAAATCTGATGTTTTTTTTTTTTTTTAATAAGTGTGCATTATGTAAGAGATAATGTGTTGGGAGCAGGTTGACATAACAAGAAAGTGATGCAGTACTTTGCATCAGGGTCTTATCTCTACCTGGAAGAAAACTATAATTTTGCAAAAGTTTGTCTGACGGCAAGATTGCAAAAAATTGGAATACCACTTGGGGAGCAGAAGCATGTGCCCTAAGTCAGCGGCATATGCCATTAGTTCAGGGGCACGTGTTGTGGCTGATGGTATGCCACAAGCGGGGCCAGGTGTATGTGCTAGTCGGCTGACTGAATGCATCGAACTGTTGACCTCTGTGTTGACAGCAACAGATGAACCATTCAAAGTATCTCTGATTACGGTGGCTAGACTAACCTTGTTAGCTGGGAAAGGTTTCGCTCCCGGCTCGCTGGTATCATCGGTAATTAAATGTCAGTGAATCTTCTTTACCTGTAATCACAGAGATACCAAACAAACATACTTTCACATGATAAACAGGCGAGAGAAACTTACACATTCCTGTAATAACATCACTTGTTGCACTAATGTTGTCAATCAAGACAAAAAAAAATACATTTGAGGTAGTAAGACTTACATTTCATAAAGCAAGAACAATCATATTCATTTATATCAATCTCTCGACTATGGTGGTGGAAGATGGGCAGTACTGGTCCAACAGATGAGTGGCAGAAAGTCTACCAACCTGTAGGAAGATTCTGTGATCTCTTTATTTTCTGTTTTCTGTGTTTAAATGGCACACTGTCTGAAGTAGAAAGTCCAAAGTTGTTGTATTTTTCTGTTAGATTATACAAGCGTTTACGATGGAGATGATTAGTGTTTCTTGCACTTAACATTTGGCCAATCAATACATTTTTTTTTTTCAACTAGATCTCAGATCCAGAGAAGTGCGACCAGATGTACGACAGTTTGGCCCGCATTAACGGCAGCGTTTACAGACAGCGAGTAAGCACTCATACGCATCTCATGTGATTCTTTTCTGTACGATGAAGAGCTCTTTTAATGAATTGCTTTCTTGTTTTAAACATGTGTTGTTACTTTTCTTTTAAAGTCTTGGTTAAAAAGTAACTTCTCCATTATGTTCTCAGAGAGGATGTCCCCGCTGTAACATTTTGATTACATTCATAAAATATTTTTATCGTCGGTACAAAGGTTTTTACAATCTCTATTATAGTATATCATATTATACGTTCAACTCTATAAACTCTGCAGACAATGTTGTCTTTTGAGAAACAAATCTAAATCTCGACAACAATGTCTCCACTGTATTATTGAATGTGTGTATAACAGGATGCACAGATTAACCTTATTTAATGCGTCTTTGTTTATGTTTACAGTTCCCTCGTGTACGTGACACAAGCTTTACTGGAGTCACAGTGGAAGAGTGTAGAGTGCTTTTGTCAGGTACCCCAAATAAATGTGACATTTAAGTCTATAGAACGTAAAAAGTGTGATTTTTAGTAAACTTATATTTGTCTTTGCACAGGGAGCGTGCAACAGATGGACGATGAAAAAAAGGGTTTGTGGAAGTCGATAATGGAGAGATTTTCCAAATCACCAGAAGAGGTTCCTGAAAAAGCTCCTGAAAAATAACTTTCCTCTGTATTTTTCTTTTTTTCTGTTTTCTTTTCATGTATAGAAATAAAGTTTATTGATGTTATATTTATTGACTTGTTTTTTTATGATCTACCATAACGGATTTGACTTTTAGAGAAAATGTAACCTACGCTTGTTATCTTAATTACATAGCCTGAAGAATGAGGAAAAAAACGTCCATCCATAAACATTTAGACCAGAAAAAAACTCAAAGGCTTTGTTTTTTCTGTTTGTAAGTTGAATTATCTGGAGGATATATTAAGAAATTTGGTTGGAACTTTTTATAGTATTTAAAGCTTTGAACCATTTTAAGGAGAATGTCTAAATATTATGATCTTCAATGTTTTCATTTTACTCACATAAGCTGAAAAAAGAATTCAAATGATAAATACTTACCAGAGTTAAAGCTCCATACTGAAATCACTTTGTTTCAAGCGAGGGTTAGGGTTCCCCAAAATCGAATCTTACTGCAGGTTACTTACCGACTTCATTTTTATGAACATGTTGACGCCAGGAGGCTTTAAAAATCTGCTCTTTGCAGAATGAATGTGTTCACTATGGTGATTTGTTTAATAGAAATCTTTATTTCAATATATGTTATTAGGTAACATGTCCTTCATTAATGCTCACGGAACATTTTAAACATAAAAACGCAAACCAATGCAGTTTTTGACTTAACTGGAAAAACACCAGGAGTGTGTTTTAAAAATCTATGATGGTTATTCAATTCAAACATGAAGCCTTAAAAGTATTGCAGAAAGGTTTCTTGCAGATCATAAGAGCTTTGAGTGAATGCACTTTTTTTAGTACAAACCTAATAAATTTGACTGACTACACATGGATCAGGCAGGTTCTTTTGCAAACAGTGACACTCCTGTCCAGAGGGGTATACCACGGAGCGAGTTCATCATTCACAGGCTTTCTTTAAGTACGCTGGCTAGTCAAAGAGAATCACATATACCAAAGCTGGTTATGACCTTCCTATTTTAACTTTGACTTTCTGCTTTAGGCTCTGAGCCAATCACATTAAAGAGGGCATTTAGTGTGTCGTGTGATGCTTCTACCACAATAAAATCAAGCATCAACATGTGTTCTTCGGTCGGACTGATATAATGAGAAGAGGTGTGGAATATAGAAAAGTGATTGTTGTTAAAAAAAGACTTCACATCTGCTGTAGAAAAGGACTGTTTTGGTTCATGTACACATTAGTAGAACTGTCGATGCATCTTTATTTCTAATATGACAACTTCATACTACAATTCATAATTTCAGCGGTATAATCAGGCACAGTAATTTTTGTAATGCTTTAACTTCATGGAAAGTATTGTGGAAATAACTTCAGTATCAGGGAAAGTCATTTACTGACTGAAATCTATTGAATAAGATTCATTTTTATCATCGGTTTGTTCATTGTACAATCAGCCGTGTTAAACAGACTTAACAAAATATCAGGATTAAACATAAACATGCATTTCTTCAGATGAAGTGCTCTAATCATTCTTTCACCGTGGGTTATTATCAGATGAAATTAACAGTGAAGTTTAAATAAAGCAATCAGCTGATAAAAAAGAGCAGAGTGAGACTGGAGGGGGGTCAATTAAATACATCACTAAACGTGCTGTGATGAAGACGATATGTTCTACTGTAAGAGCATGGCTTTGTTCTGTGATATTACGTGAACATATTACTTAAGCTGAAGATCTAAAAGCCCACAGGGAACATTTCGATGTAATAGTTAAGAGAAATGAAGCAATTTCACAGCTCTTTTAAAGACGTAAAAAACACAGAAACTTTCGGCTCAACAGACCTTTAATCTTGCTTTGTGGTATACCCCCGGGTGTGCTCTGCTTCCTTATGAGGGCACAAACAAGTCTGCTGGACTAACTCTGAAGTATCGAGTTTTTAACATTGCATTTTCCACATTTGTCATCACATTTGCAGATATTGATTGATCTTTGAAAAGCTAGTATTGTAATTTCAACCTTGAGAGATATCAGTAGTAAATTGAAAATCAAAGGCTTCTAAACATTATAGTGTATTTTCTCAAAGCATAGAGAATGGTCTCCTACTCTTCTTTTTTCTCAGGGTTGTCTCTCCATATGCAATAATTCAGGGTAGTGGCAAGGCACAGCCATGACAGGTAGGGCGCCAATAGCATTGAGGCTGTGCGGCTGATGGGATACCAAGACGCCATGGTTGCTCCGACAGTCCCGGTGAGAAGCACGATCTCAATCAAAGCCTAAATTGGACAGAAAGGGGGTGTTCAATTAATATGTACAATAATCAGCTGTACCATATGCTACATCCTTTATAAACTTCCTTTTAATTGTTCAATAATGATTACATCTATGTATTAAACTTGCCAATTTCAGCTTGTGTGCACCAAAGAAGATGGGAGTCCAGGCCCAGTTCAGAGCTAGCTGCAGGCCATAAAGTCCCAGTGGAACCAGTGCATCCTCAGTGAAACCTCCAAGCTCTCTCCAGACCAGATAGGAGCCGTACCTGTGTCACGAAGTTTAAGAACGCAGGATCATTAAGATTGGAAGGTTTCATCAAGTAGAATAAGTAGAAACATTTCGCCGTGGAGCTTACCCCATGCCTGTATATAGACAGGTCCACACTACAGGGAACGCTGCATTGGGTGGTCGCCATGATGGTTTCTGCAGGGTTTTGTACCAAGTCTTCACCTCTTTGCGTGTGACGTAACCTCCATATAGCCCTCCCAGGTGTGGCAGGGCAGTCATTCCAAGCATGGGCAGCCACATGTTCTGAGAATAATAATAATTAAAAAAAAAGTCATATCACAGCTGCATGGCAAAAAAAAAAAATTCCAAACACTTTTTGTTAATCATCAAAGTGTAAAAGAGAATGGTGAGAGTGAACTAAGCGTGTGGACCCAAACAAGGTCTGAACAAAGCTCAGGTGGTGAAATCTGAGAAACTTTTTTTTAAATTTTAAATCTGAATAACAACTTAAAATGCAGACTGATTTGAAAAGTCTGCACTTTAAGTTGTTATTCAGATTTAAAATGCCACTTGAGTAAGGTCAACTACGGTAAACTTTAGAGCTGTTTGCAGCCATATCACTATCAAAACTCCTGTTTCAGTCGGACTCTGCTTATCTGAGCAAGGGATGTGTTTCTTGAAGATGTGCGCCCAAAAACCTCAACTCATGTGCTTAAGGAAACCCAGCAGATAGACTTAATGCGCGAAACGAAGAGTGTCCTCACAAAAGTGTCCTCTCTGCTTATTTTTTTAGTTTTTGAATTAAGATGTCAATAACAGGCTACTAAAGCAGTTTATAAAATGACCAAATTACTTACAACATCACAGACAGTCGTGCTAATTTTCATGCTAATCTTAAAACATTGTGGAGCACCTATTTCAAGGCTCATGAAAGTTTCGTAAGCTTTAAGTCACCGACAAAGACAATATCATTACACAATATCAAGTGTAACCCTCGCTTACCTCTCTTAACTTTCAGGTCCTCTGCGAAGTGTTGGTACACAGTATGTATGTTGATCTGTCGGACTACACACCTACCATTAAGTCTAGATCCTGAGCGTGCTGCTGTATTGTGATATAAGTTTGTTGGACGTGCAGGGTAGTATCTTATCTGTGTGGTCAGCAGCACAGTCCTCTGACACTCCCAGAGAGAGAGAGAGAGAGAGAGAGGGAGAGAGAGAGAGAGAGAGAGAGAGAGAGACAGAGAGAGGGGGAGAGAGGGAGAGAGAGAGAGAGAGAGCGAGAGAGAGGGGGAGAGAGGGAGAGAGAGAGAGAGGGAGAGAGACAGAGAGAGAGAGAGAGAGGGAGAGAGAGAGAGAGACAGAGAGAGAGAGAGAGAGACAGAGAGAGAGAGAGAGAGGGAGAGAGAGTCAAACACACGAGTAGAGAGCAGTGGTTAGCAACGACCGTGGTTAGCGTTGTTAGCAACAATGGGTCGCCAGGATAAAGTCAAGAGGCGACTGACAGTCGGTGGAGTAGTTTGTGAGCTGAATAAACAATGTTTTATAACGTTACCGTAGTCCAAAGGTCAGAAAATCTATTCGCAAACGCGTCTTCACTTCCTGTTCGGCCGCATATTTCCGCGTTGCTTACAAAACACAAACAGCTGGATACGCAGCAGCAGCAGAGATTAAACACCTGTCAAGATAATTCTCGCCTTGCTCCCAGCGCTCGCTTATTCTTGGACGTGTTACCTTTATAGAAATACGAGAAACCCATAGACAAGGGTGGCGGCCCCCATCAACCCTCAATGGGGCCCCCCAATGTCAATTTTTACATGTCAATTAATTTAAAACATGACAAAATCTGTCATGAAATCATGAAAACCAGAAATATGTCCATAATAATATTTGATCACTGGTATATGTTGAGTTAAATTTGAGACATAATTGACTGTAATTGTTTTTGTATTCTACAATTTGGCCCCCTGGCAGTGAGAATTAAGTGAATGTGGCCCTTACTGTGACCAAAGTTGCCCCATCCCTGCCATAGACTGTACATCTTGAACTCTATTAAACACCTAGTTTCAGCATGTTGTTCGGGCTAATTACATCATACAAATACAACACCAGTTTGTACTAATTACCTGCTACAAAGCCCTGCACTGTGAACATCTGGAACATATCACATGGGCTACTTCATTCAAACAACATTGACAGTAGAATATTTTCCAATTTTTCAAGCTTTCTGGGTGTTTTGGGATTAGTCTGAAGGTATGCTTCGATGTGCTTGTAAGTGTAACCACATTAAACTATTACATACCGTGTCCTGAAGATGACTTATGGACACAAGACAAGAAACCACTGAATGTCGCAAAAGCAATATATTTTTTAGGGGTGTTAAGCATATTTAATTATAGGCAATATCCACTATGTTATGAAATCAGGGTTAATTAAAACATTCTGTTGAATTTGTGTTGTCTAATTTTTTTCCAAATCGTTCAATTTTATGTGACAACCATCACAATAATGCTTGAGCATCCAGGATTGCTAAGATGCTGAGAGGTTTTAAAAATGTTTTTCGGCATCTGGTTTTTCTAACAAATCTAGTGACTTCACTGCAACAAAACACCTTTTTGGTTATTAGGCAGGAGACAGTAACATAAGGGTGTTGTAATAAATCTATCTTTAGAGGCCATTTATTAAATCTTTACGGACTCATCTTAATTATAAAGGCAGTAAACAGGTGTTTTATTGGAAGATGAATACAGGAAATGTGTCCCCGCCGTGTACAGTATAATGAATTCATAATTGGAAATTTTATATGGGGGGGATACAGCCTTCTCCACAGCTACCCCTCTCCCTCTGGAACTCACTCCCCACATGTTTTTAACACTGCTCTGACCCATCTACATTCAAATCACTACTCAAGACTCACCTCTCCAAAAGAGCTTTTAATGTTGTGATGTGTGTTCTGTTTATCTGTGGCTTATATGTTGTTGTCTTTATGACCTGTGTGTAATGTTTGTTCTTACTGTTCTGTCTTGATCTTTCTTTCTTTTTGAACAAATGCATGTACAGTGTCTTTGAGTTCCTGAGATCCTTCTTAGCTTGGCACCAATACTACAACTGTAGATTAAACTAATATTTACAATCCTATTAAGTGCACCATATTTACAGTCTTACACCTATCAGCAATTAAACAAGCTTATTTTATGCAAACTTTCCAAAAATCAGTGTTTCATGTTATTATGTAGGCCTACTTAAAGTGATGTAGAATTTTAATGAGACATATTTTTAACATAACCCTAACCCTAAAAAGATGATTATAAAGTGATTAATCTCAGTTTATGCTCTCTACTAGTGAATTTTAGAGTAGGCTAGTAAATGAGGGAGTCAATTTTGAGACAGACAAAATAGTCATATAGCTGCCTTTGCTGGTTGTGTAGGACACATAACCTGCACGTAACCTTGAATTGCTGTCCTTAAACTCGCTCGGTATCACACTACTGGAAGCACCATCTGACGTGACCAATAACTCCATTTGACACTTCCCATAATGACATACCTCACTCAGTTTTCAGAGAACTGGGGTTACCCTGGTCACCTAACATTCTTGAACAACCGCTTTAGTGAGTACTACTGTTAAGCAGGATATTTAGGGTTAGTTTTTTTTAGGTCTACAGGGTTTGAAAAGCTGGTATCTTGGTCAGAGCTAGTGTAACTGGTTGTGACTGGACTATGGAGGATGTGTCTCTAGTGTGAAGTCTGTTTACACCCCATTGTGTCCTGAGGACAGATTGAGACCCTTGTTGCCCAACGGTGCACCGAGGGTGGCAATGAAGGAGGCCTTATTTCTGGAGAAAGGAGCCATTATGGCAGTTTCTCAGTTGAAGGCTGAGATAGCTTTTTTCTCTACATATTTCTTGTTCCCCTATAAATCAGGAGGTGTGAGGCCTATCCTGGATCTTAAGGTTCAGTAGAACTAGCAGATGTGGTATCAAGGTCTGCATTTGGATACCCGAGACATGACCACCTGCATGTCGTAGGAGTACATAGCAGCTGGCCCACAGAGCTGATGCTACTGCACCAATAACAACAAGATTTTGCTGCTGCTGGGCATGATGTCATCTCTTGGTATGTTTGGGTCTCCTTATATCCCCAGTAACGGCTTCAGTGGCTCAAGCTGCATCCAAGCATCAGCAGCTCTTTAGGCTGCACATGACTACCCAGGAGCTGAGGGACATGAGGGCCTTCTGGAGTTCTCTATGGAGGATCCTAGGCAGTCAGAACATTGTTTTTAGTTTTTGCTTTAGCCTTGTCACTTAGCGGCCCAGCTTGTACATTTATCTCTAACGGCCTTCGCGTCCTGTGGTAACTATAGCAAAGACCATTAGAGGGCAGTGCATGTACAAAATAAAAATAGTAGTCACTGGATGTAGCTCTGATTCCGAGAGTACGTCTAACTGCAGGCCCAGCTTGCCCCATTGTTTGATGATGTTGCTGATCTCCAAAGGGAGATGAGTAATGTCAGTGTGGGTGTTATAAGTACTTAACTACCCTTTAATTTGGCAGTGAGTAAAAATTGTCTGAGAGTTTCGAGCATAGACTGTGGAGTTTTGAGGTGGAGTCTGTAAAACAATGGCAAAGCTGGGGCTGAGATCTTTGCACATACTCACAAAACTGTGAGTTACATCCAGTAACTAACGCAACAATCACTTAAAAGCCAGCAAAATCCTGCAGGGGATGATTATGGCCATGAGCTGCGAAGCTGACACATGGCATTAGCTTGAACAGAGTGCAGCTTGTGAATAGTTACTATTGGGCAGCGTGGCAAATTGCAGCTTGTATATAATTTCTACTGGGTATGTAAACAGAGTGCAGATTGTGAATAAAATTACTACTTCTATAGGCGGCAACTTTCACATAAAGTTATTGTCATACCCATATTCAAAATCAAAAAAACATGTCACCAAAAGTTACTGGAATACTTTAAAACATTAAACAATGAAACATCCATGATCGATTGCAGCATTAAACAAATTACCCACATGCACCCAACAGCTTCGTAGAATTTTCCTTTGCTGAGGCATGGATGTATTTATAGTGCTGAGTACGGTGGCCAGCAAGAAGCCCCACTAATATGTTTACGCTGTTAGGTCCTCAACCCTATTACAGAAAGTATGGTCTTATTTTTTTTATTCTAAGTCCAACAACACTGCTGTGACTAATGTGATAAAGGTGTTGTGTCTTTTGGGCAAGCATCATACTCATAAAGCCAGATTTCTTCAGTTTCTTCCAAGCAAATCATTATTTTTTTATTGAACTCCAGACATTCGATGAATCATTCTGTAAAGTATTGAAGAATAAGAAAGCTTTAAAGACATCCATAAGGACTATTTTTTTTATATTGTTGACATTATTGCCGGGTGACTTATTTTGATAATTGTTACTTTTCTTTTTCCTTTATTTCCCCCTAAATGATTTATGTTATTGTAATGTAATTTTTCAGTTTTTTTGTTTTCTCTGTAATTTCTCTGTAATTTCTCAATTTAAGCTATTCATTTATGAATGGTCCTTTCTGTAAGGTTAGTTGAATGTCTCCCTATACTTACATGTTGCTGTGTTGTGTGAATTAATTGTAAATGTAATGTGTTGATAAATTGTACTATTTTTTTAAACTATTTCAGCCTTTATGCTAAGCTAAGCTCAGCCTAGAAGTTTAGGCTATTCAAAGTAGAAATATGAAAGTGGTATAAACCTTGATGTCAAATAAAAGAGCAGATTTACTTTATCCTCTCTGTCAGTTTCTGTTGAGCACAAATTTACTGCAAGAAGATGATTTAAAAAAAAAAAACTTGGACAAAAACAGATAAAACAGTGACTTGATCACTGGAATAACAATTCATGCAAATGAATGCCTGAATTCACACACAGAGCAGAACATTCACAGCAAAATCATTGACAACTGGAACTGCTACAGATGCTCTTGCCTTGTAGATCATTGGGTTGTTGTTTCTTTTTTTTCTTTTTTTTCCCACCTCCCCCTGTCTGTCAGGCAAGCACACCTTTCCTCTCTGGTCCTCCAGCGTTCCTTACCTTCTTGTCGCTTCTTTCAGGCTCGTTGTCTGGCGGTGAACTCTCACCCCAGCTGCTTGGGAAATGTCATACAGGCAGAGGCCCGTGCTGCAGTAGGGGGGCGTAATAGGAGGAAAAAATAACAACATTTTCACTGCTCTCACTGCATCTTTTATTCGCCTCACTGCCGTGCAAGTTCCACATCCCGCTACAACCAGCAGCAGACCGCCGCCACCGACAACCACTTGCAGTCTCACAGCTTATTTCGCATAAGGGCTAATATAAAAAAAAAAAAAATCCGTGCCAGACATGTGAGTAGCAAACCATCGCTGTCTTACCCGTTTACCGCTATGTACTCACGCTATTGTATCCTCACAAAAAAAAAATAGGAACAAATGGTCATTGAGCATTGTCGTTGTGCATTTAGTGTCAGTGTGCTGGTTCATGGTAGCATGGTTATGCCGGGGAGTCTGTGTACGTTGATGGGCAGATGAAGCCTCGCTGTCGGCTTGTTTTGGAGCTCTGCGTCGGCTTTGCTAATTGAGCAAGCAGGACCGTGATTCTTCAGCTCAAATTAGGGGGAAACCCATTTTACTGGTTGTGTTTGTAAAGTGTGCATCAGAGGCATTTTTTTTTTCCTGCTCGCATTGTGTGTGTGTGTGTGTGTGTGTGTGTGTGTGTGTGTGTGTGTGTGTGTGTGTGTGTGTGTGTGTGTGTGTGTGTGTGTGTGTGTGTGTGTGTGTGTGTGTGTGTGTGTGTGTGTGTGTGTGTGTGTGTGTGTCTAGCCTGCCATCTCCAGTCAGATGTGGAGGCCCAGGTTAGAGCTCACACAATGCGGCGGGGTTGATCTAAAATGTGTCTATAGGTCTGTGTGAGGTTAACAAGGAGCAGGATTCTCAGGCTTAGCATACAGCCTACCTGGTCATTCCTAAAGACTCTGTCTACTCTGTTTACTGTCTAAGGCAAAATTAAGGAAATGAAATGTCTCCTTCGTACATTAGTTTTACTTGTCATTCACTTGAGTTTTAGATGCACAGCTATTCATTTCTAAGTGTGTGATTCCTAATCATTACGATACAGGAACATCTCTGTAGCCCTACTTAAAAATAATGTGTTTACTATTCTTGTAATACATTGAAGAAGCCTGTTGGATTAATTGTGATTGTGTGTCTAAAAATGCTGTGCACTATTTTGGTTGCATAGGTCTGACATTTCTCCTTCAACGAAGCCTACAGTTTTGAGCCTGTATCCCCTCTAAATGTGACTCTTCAAATCATACTGCAACATTGAAATCATTTTTCCAGCCAAACATGAATAGGATGATATTATATAAAATCAACAAAGGGACTGGTATTGCCTTTTTTATGGCTGATAAACAATCCTCAGCTCTAATGCTGTTCGGTGTACCAATTGTGGCATCTTTTCTACTAGGCTCTTATTTCATTCTTATTTACAATTAGGAGTTATTACTCCAAATTGGACAGTTAGGGTGTTGTGTAACATGTAAATAAAAAATGAATGTGATGATTTGAAAACATAGGAAACCCAAGATTATAAATGGCTCGAACAAAATATCACATGTTGAAACTGAGAAATGTCATTCATGACAATTTAATGCCACCACAACGTTTAAAAAAAGTTTAGACAGGGTCATATTTACCAAAGCTGTGGAATCACCTTTTCTTTAAACAACAATCGTAAGCGTTTTGGGAACTGAGGAGACCAGATGCTGTCATTTTGGAAAGTGGAATGTTTGACCATTTTCGCTTAATGTACGATTTCAGCTGTTTGACAGTTCGGGGTCTTCTTGGTCTTATTTTACGTTTCAGAATGCTCCAACATTCAATGGGTGACAAGATGGGACTTCAGGAAGGCCAGTTTAGTGGGAGGCTGTGGCTCAGTTGGTAGAGTCATCATCCTCAACCAGAAGGTTGAGGGTTCGATCCCCAGCTTAACAACATGTCTGATGTGTCCTTGGGCACGACACTTAACCCTGCATTGCTCCCGCTGCTTCAGGAATAGATTAGAGCTTTGGATAAAAGCGTCTGCTGAGTGAATTGTAACATTGTACCCAGACTCTTTTCCTACAGAGCTGTGCTGTTTTAATTTTCATGTGTAGATATTTACTGAAATATACAAGGCACAGCGTTGTCTGTCTGGCAGTATATGTTGCTCTGAAAACCTTTGACATGTCATTCTGCATTATTATTGCATTCAAAATGTGCAGGTTACCCATGCCATGTGCACGTATGCACCCCCATTCCATCATAGATGCTGGCTTTTGAACTTAGTGCTGATACGAAGCTGGATGGTGCTTCTTCAATGGTGACACGGTTTTCTCTTTGCATGGCAGAGTTTCAGCTCTTGTCATTAGTGAATGCAGCAATGAACTGTGTTCACAGACACTGGTTTTTGGAAGTGATCCCAAGACCATGGAGTGATGTCCACTACAGAGTTCTTTCTGTCAGTCTTTCACAGAGTGGGGAACCCTCCCCATCTTTACTTCAGAAAGACTCAGCCTCTTTGGGATGCTATTTTTTTTTACAGAATCCTGTTGCTAACCTGTTGCAAGTAAATCTTATTAAGTCAGGTGTTAGCCATTTTGGCACCCTAGGCAAGAATATAATTTGGGGGCCCTCCCCATGCACTGCATCATCTCCAATTGGTGAAATGTAAAGAAATTAAACTCACTAGTAGTTTTAAATATATTACATGCCATACGTTAAATCAGAAATCCGACATCATACGGCTTTAAGGGGGACATGGCCCAGACCTCCTTAGGGGTCTGATGGTTTCTCCTCCAAGACAAAGTGCTGGTGGGATATTTTTAATGCACCCTGTGCACTAAAAATGCATCACTGGAAATTTGAAATGTGTAAAATAAATATACCCTTTAGTTAGTTAGTTTATTTATTGACTTAAATTGGAATTTTGTGCACTTTGTTAACGTAGTTTATTAATATTATTTTTTGTTTGTTGTGTTCACTCATTGACACTCAGAGTGCACAGATTGTATAAACTCTGTACACGCTATTTAAATTAAATAGCCTTCATGTTTTTAGCAATGGAAATTTGTGTTTATTTACTTTACAACCTCTATCATTTATCATCTATTGAACCAGCCCCTTTCTGTTTTTTAAGCATGTCACAACTTCTTTAATCTTTTTTTTTACCACTGTCCCAACTTTCTTGAAACATGTTGTCATCATCAAATTCAATTTTTCAACTTTTCCAAAAGTAATTACTTGTTTATCGGTTTCGAATCAACACTCTCTTTTTAAAAATGTTCAAACAAATTTAGGATTCCAATGATTTGCCAATCATCACATTCTGTTTTTATTTTCATTTTAAACAATTTCCCAACTTTTTTGAATTGTAAGTTTTGTTTAAAGTCGCTGAGGGGCAAGTAGAAGATCAAAAACACTGGCTGTAACTGTCACTTAATTTCTAAGCCATAATATTTTCAACGTTCTTTATCTGTCGTTTTTCTAAAGCTTTTCTCTGGTGGGGATAGAAGAGAGATGAAAGGAAATACATGAGGGTGAAGAGGCATTGTGTGCAACATGTTCAACATCTTACAGAATGCCAAGCCCACCTGCTAACATTGGCAACATTTATTTTAGATATGAGTTTGATATAAGGTCGGGTAAATGTTTGTGTTTTTCATGGTTTCAGGGGGGAGAAGATGATGCTTCTCTTGAAGATGTCAGTCCAGCAAACTAACTGGCTTGTGAGGACGATGCCCGGTCTAAGATCCTGGGACTAAGGCGTTAATCCCTTCACACTGATGGCCTGGACTGAGTAAGAAGTTTGTGTGTGTGTCTGCTCCCTGAAGTGGGCGTTCAGTATTATTTTGTCTGATATTGATAACTGTCTTTAAATTGCTGAAATTGTTAATGGAGTCAGGTGATGAGATCTCCTTTAATGTCAGGTTTCAGCTGGCCTGCTGAAGCTATGGGGAGCTGTTGGAGCTGTCTGTACAGAGACCCCATCAGAGACAACCATCTCACCAAATTTAAGGTCAATAATAACAAATTCAATTCATTCTGCTACTCTCTTGTTCAGTAATTTTTTTTCTGGTCATAACTTTGATTAATAAACTGCACTCACATGTTCTCCTCTTCCTGTTACATTTATTGTCCCAGGTCACCAATGTGGACGATGAGGGCAACGAGCTTGGTTCTGGGATCATGGAGCTCACCCAGACTGAGCTCATTCTTCACACACGTAAGAGAGACGCCATTCGGTGGCCGTATCTCTGCCTGCGCCGTTATGGCTACGACTCCAACCTGTTTTCTTTTGAGAGTGGCCGTCGATGTCAGACCGGGCAGGGTAACTATTCTCTGTTTCTCTTCCTCAGTAACTTAAATGTTAATGCCGTATTTAATGTATCTTATTATTCTACATTTATATTTTCTATTTATATGTACATTTTACTACTACTTACTATTTATTTAGCGACTGATCCATAGGCGGATCCCCGCATGGACAAAGTGGGCAATTGTCCGGGGCCCTGGCAAATGGGAGTCTTGGCCTTAAGATTTGTTATTATATGAGCAAGAGAGCGAGCTGCAAGCTGCAAGCTGCAAACAGCTGTTTCTACATGTCAACTAGAACTACAAATTATTTGATGTAAAAAAAAAAAAGGAACAAATGAACCACAACTTGAGAGACAGCTCATATGGGTCATAATTTCAGGACATGAGTCAAGATCTTTTAAAAATAAACTTTATTGTCTGTCTCAACATTGTTGTAGTAGATTGTGCAAGGACCATATCTTGCGCAAGAGGAAGTTCACGTTCCAACATTTCATTTTTTCTCTGTGAAGAACCCAGTCAGGGTTATAGTATTTTTAAGCAATAAATAGCAGAATTGTTATTTAAGTGCGTAAGTGCAACCAAACCCTGTATGCTTGGGGAGGATACAGTGTGTAATATTTCCTGTGTCAGTAGGGGTCCAAGGCGAGTTTGTGTCCAGGGCCTGTGGTCATTATAATCCGTCCATGGACTGAACTAGTGGTGTGAAGAATGAAAAAAGAGAGCCCTGTAGAAAAGTACAACCCTCAGCAGAGAGGGATGGAGGGGTTTCCAAAGCTATTTGACCATTTGAGTATCCTGAACCTTCAAAATTTCAGAAGTGAACTTTTTAACACTGGTCTATTTTACTTCAGTTACCATATGCCCCCTGCACAAACGCAGTCTGTATGCTCCTTGCACTTGCTCTTTGTATAAATGTATTTTTCGCCAAGTGATGAAAAATTCCTGATTTTAATTTTTTATAATGACTATCGTATTTCTGAACATTTGTTGTTATTGCTGTTATTTGTAGTCAAGTGTGACTACAAGCTGTGAGTTTGGTTCTTTTTCAAAGTCATCTAAAACTTCCTCTACTTTGTACCAAAAGTATTAATGTACAGAGCTGCACAGTTGTTTATGTTTTCATCGTTTAACAAACATGCTGATTGAGTACTTGTAAACAAGGTCAACTGGAAAAAGGTCTAATAGTAACTCACTGAAAGGGGGCATATCACCACCTAATGTAGTGGAGTCAGACATACTTCTGTCAATAAATGGATTCTCCTCTGGTGCTTGTCCACTATTGTCCTTGTTATTACTATAGCTTAACTGTGCAACTAAACACACTGACTGTGAAAAAATAATATTGTAAAGGTACATATATTCTAAAGAGTGATTTCAGCATGAATTAAACACGTCACTTGTGTTCATCCATGCAGTGTTACAGGACAAGGGGCCTCCATCATTTACACCTTGTAATGTAAACTGTATGCAAAAATTTCACTTTTATTTAATTGTCAGAAGCAACTTTGCCTTTCTATTTCAGCATTCTGGGGAACAAATCTCGGCCCAGCAGTGCTGATGTTTTTTTTTTTTTTTGTTCTTGTTTGATTAGGAATATTTGCATTCAAGTGTTCCCGGGCAGAGGAGATTTTCAATCTGCTGCAGGAGCTGATGCAATGTAACAGCATCAACGTGGTGGAGGAATCCATGATGATGAGTCGCAGTGGTCACACACCAGAGATGGAGATGTCTCGCACGCCACAAACTCCCAACAGTGAGTCACACACACACACACACACACACACACACACACACACACACACACACACACACACACACACACACACACACACACACACACACACACACACACACACACAGAGATGTGTAGTAGTAAAAGGAAGTAGAAAAGCTTTAAATACACACAGCTCAATTAAGTCTACTGTGCCACAGGTGCAAAAGTATTCAAATAAAAAAGAAAGCAGAACAGATATACAGCCTGTGTATATGGCCAGTTAGAGCTAGACAAAAGGTTATATTGGTACACATTTTCATATTGAGATTTGAGCATGTCTGATTTTGTAATTTTGAAGCTGAACTGATACCACTCTTACAGGGCAATACGCACAAAGCATCGGTGCACAGAGGTTTTTTTGCCCTGCAGCACAGTTATGGGAGGATTTCACCGCCTGCGTTTGCTTTGTGAATTAGACGGGGTCTTTTTGATTCTTTTGCACAGGTTTAGCAGGCTCAAAAGCTGCACAATCCATTTGTGAATGAGGCCCTGAGTGTGCGATGCTGTACGATCGTGTTGACACCATCAATTATATTTTCAACAGTGACCAGCCCATATTGGCCCGATAGTATAAGTTTAATAACAAATATCAGTCACACTATTACAATGTTATGGTTAGCTCTTCTGTACAGATTAGAAGTTCATTGTATGTTATTGGGCATCTACTGTGTCAGTGTCAGTGTTAGAGCTGTTTATACACTATTCAAATGATAATTATTTGTTCCTCTTGTCCTTCATCAGTCAATTGTCTCTATGGGCAAGATGCTACAACATAACATTCATAGCAGATTTTTTAAATCAGTGTGTGAGTCTGTGGGTTTGTGAAGTCATTTACCATCTGATACGTCTTGTTTTTAATGGATAATTTAACAGTGAGCAAAGTGACTTGAAATGAATTGATGAATCTGCATTTTAATTGTGTTCTTACTTAATACTTAAATGGCGCTTTATAAACAGTTAATAGGATTGTAAACCAACTCTGGCGTGCACTGGAATCCAGTGTAGGGATTTGAGAATGGGGTTGATGTGTTTGAGGGTTTTCTTGGTCCTGGTTAAAACACCTGCAGCAGCATAATGTACAAGCTTTTGGGTCCAGAAAAGAAACTACAGCTTTGCAATAGTGTAATCAGCTTTGAATTATTTCATGAACTAGTTTAAAGTGTCTGAGCGTGATAGAAAATAAAAAAAAAGGGTAATGAAAAGGAATCTGAAACTTTTGCTTAACTTTTTTCAAAATAAGTTTGTGTGGATTTATTTAATTTTTTATGCATACAAAAAAGATAATTTAAAGACTTTGCATCATGCCTTACTTTGTTATCATTATTTATATTCTAATTGAAATAATAAGTCTGAAAAAGCATTAGCAAAGAACACAACTTCCCTGAGATACACTTTGGGTATGTCGTGCTTTCTGAATTGAAACTCCATCATTTCAATGCTAACATGCAGATCACTGTCCAATGTTTATCAGCTGTCACATAAATGTGTTTGTAGCTCCGGGGTTCCCTGTTCAGGCTTTCCCCAACGGATACCCTGGTTATCCAATCAGGGGTGATTCCTCTCAACCCTCTCTTGCTGATGATCATGGACATAGCCTCATGGGTTTGGAAGACCAGGTAAGACATATCTATGACATTGATAGTGCACCGTTTTTTTTATAGCTTTTTCCTTACATGAAACACGTTTTTATTTTCCCCTAACAGACCCACACCTATGTAAACACTGTTAGTATGGAGGGGGATCTCTCTATGCGCCACTGTGTGCACTCTTTGCCTGAGGTGAGACCCAGCACCTTCCCAGAGACCGCACGGGGGTCTATGCCTGTGGGGGGCCAAGGGAATCTGCAGTCCAATCTGAGGCACTATCCCCTGGAGGAGCACAATGACCCTCAGGTGTTCTTACAGCCAACCTCTCAGGAGGTCAAATTCATGCTGGGTCCCACACCAGCACAGCGCCATCTGCTGGAGAGAGAGAGGGAGAGAGAGAGGGACAGGCATGGGCACAACCCTCACAATCTTCAGCCAGTAGAGGGTGCAACAGGCTCAGAGACAGAGGGGGATGAGCCTTCGATGCACTTGTGCAACTCTCACTCCTATCATCATTTCCACCACCATGCACACCGGCATCCAGGCCTTGAGCATCCGGACAGCTGCCAAAGCGGAGAGTTCACCTACGAGAACATCAATGACCTGAGGAGCGGTAGGAAACAGCGGCTGAGTCCCAGCAGTGTGTCGCAGTCTGTCGGTTCAAGCAGCAGCAGCAGCACGGGGGACAGTCACTCTCACTCCCTCCAGCACCTGCATGTCCACGGCCCCTCTTCCCTGCCTCCACAGGGCTACGCCTGCGAAAGGGGCATGGGTGGAGGTCACCGTCGGACAGCTCTTCTCAACTATGAGAACCTGCCTTCTCTGCCCCCAGTATGGGAGTACAGTGCCCTTCAGCGGGACGAGGAGCAGGAGGAGGATGATGATGAGCAAGAAGAGGATGAATACGAGGAAGAGGAGGAAGACTTTGATGAGTATGAATTCTCAGAAGGTCCTGGGACTCCAAACGGATATCACCAGGACAGTCGGGGCATCCACAGAGACGCCCTGCAGAACTATGTCAACACAGAGCAGGTCCAGCCGCCTCGGCTTCGACACGCCTGTCCCCCACATCCTCGGCCGTGTCAGCCAGATCAAGGGGGGCGAATATTTAGCTTTGATTTCCGCAGACGTTCAAGGTCAGGTGTGGGAGGCTGTGAGCACGGCCACATGCCTCCATCACGGCAGCTGAACTACATCCAGGTGGACCTAGATGGTGAACCTCCCTGCCAAGCCCTCGGCGGCGGGGTTGCCCAAAACCAGCCACAGCACCAGCGCCTACCACCCAAAAAATGTGGCCCGCAGGCACCCCGGCGCAGCGAATGCTACGCAGTCATCGACCTAAAGAAGACAGCTGCCATGTCCAACCTGCAGAAAGCTCTGCCTAGGGATGATGGGACTTCCAGAAAGACTCGCCACAACAGCACAGACCTGCCTCTGTAAACAGTGTTCAGACTGAAGAGGAGTGATGAAGACAGAGGAAGGCTTATTCGCATCTTAGCACACTGGACCCTTCACTGTCATCCATCCATTCAACTGTCGGGCTGACTAATACAGTAAAGGTACCTAATTAGAAACGTACTGAAACCTCTGTGCATATAAAAGGAAACAAGAAATCTCTGAGGAGAATTTGCCATTTTGTTCTATTTATTAGATATGTGTTGTGGAGCTCTCGAGAAATTTGCAGTTTTTACTGCAATTACTGTTTGCTGGATTAATAATTTAAAGATATATATAAGAATAAAATCATATATATGTATATGATTTTATGCCAATGACTGAGAGCAGAGACCTCAGTTTTCAGTGGAAGCAGTCATTGCCATACTGTTTGAGCAAACTTTTTTCTTCAACCCATCTCGTACCTATCCTCTAGTTTTTCTTATTCTATATGGTTCTTTATTTAAATACTGTGGGAGGGAAAAATGACACCCTATTTACAGAAGAAGTACAACTGTGGTTGGAAAGAAGGATGTTAATGGTTCATCCATAATAATGGCCAAAATTCATACCTCATCACAAGCATCAAAGCCTACCATTGTGGCTGGTAAAGAGAGCATTGTTTGTTTAATTATGCCTACAAAGCATTTTGCACACAATCCAATGGAATTGTATTTTATCATATTTTAGGAATGGTGTTGTCCAATACAAGAGATGAAATAAATGAAGAGAACATATGGATAAATATTCCAAACTGAACGACGGTAAAAGTAGCACACGTGGTTTTAAAAGGAGCTTCTTTCTGTCCGCATGCAGCAAATGAAAAGTAGCATATCATCTTTGATCACTTCTCCTGCCTGTCATGGTAGACTCGCAGGAGGTCCACGCAGTTTACGCTTGACACGTTGCACTTTTGACCCTGGGTTATTGAAGTGCTCACTCTCATTCCTCTGTAGCCACAGGGCTCCACCGTGTCCTTTTTACCAAAAGCAGGGGGCCAAATATCTCATTCCTAGTCAGCATTGTAGATACATGTTATTGACGTGTTTTTGTTAAGACATCAACAACCTCAAAGAGTGGCATTAAGCTATAACCTCACAGAAAATGTGCTGAATCTTTAATTTATTTGTTAGCAGCTGTGAAAGGTCTGTTTTAAAGGGTTAATCAAGTACATTGCAAAGACGTGCAGTGAAGTATTTGCCTGTTTAGTCAACCTCATTGGGTTGATATTTATTTATTTATTTCATTATTTATTTATTCATTTTTTTTCATTGTATTTTTTTTTTCATTGTGATGACCAGCGATTTTGAATCCAGTTGGTAATACGGAGACCAAAGTTTCACCTCAAATGATCACTGGTGTTTTACTGTTATTACTGTGCTGAATTATATTTCAAAGAGATAACTGTATGTACGTTTGAAGTGCCAAAACTTAATTGCAAACTGTATGATGACTAAAATCCAACCACCATAGGGGCAGAGGTGCATAAGGTCGGAACGATCAGCAGACATTTAAAAAAATTAAATTAAATAAATTCCAAGAAGAAGCATTCATTAACACTGCACATTCCTTACATCCACATGACAGCACCCCCCCTGGAGCGAGATAATCACAGTTAGGGCGGTTCTGTGCTGCCACATATACATACCGCCAGTAGTCTCTGCAAGCTATACAGGTTCCTGTCAGAATGAAACATGTAACTAAAACCTCTGAGACTAACTTTACCATATTGTTCAATACATTTACTTAGAAGTAATTTTGTTGTGTTCTTCTGAGGCAACTTTCTTAGCAGTGAAACTATATTGAATATTTCATAAATTTGGCCATTTAGTTGAGATTTCTTTCTTGTCAAACTGGCTGTCTGGTAGGAGAAATAATGGAAGCACAGGCCCACTGATGCCATCATCTTTTTGTAACACTCGTATTTAGTTGATTTCAGCGGATCAAAGAATGTCAAATGCATATCATCATTTAAATAATATAGCAAGTCTTTCAATTTTGATCAACCCCTTGTTAAGTCTTTAAAATGTCAGGAACCAAATGCTCAAAGCTGTTTAATCGATATTATTAATTATAGTTACAATACAAGACAATGTCAGAGCACCTGACAGAGTGGAGACGGCTGTTGTATCTCACTTTGTACTAGAGCTCGACGGATTAATCCGCCAGCCAATAATAGCGGCCCATATTAGCATATCCAGTGACTATCGGTATAGGCTACTTTATCGCAGACATGTGCCGATATTACTAGATTCATTCACCAGTCTAATAGAATTTCATTTGAGTTTCATTGTTTTACACTAACAGTTCTTTTTTCACCAGCAGAATGTTGTGACCATCTTTTCTTCATGATATATCTTTTCAAGTGTTTGATAATTGCTATTAAGGGATCAACAAAAAAGATATCAGACGATTTATCGGTATCCGACCTTTTCTCTTCCTAATATCAATATTAGTATCGGTCCCCAAAATCCTGTATCGGTCAGGCTCTGTACAACATCACGCCGGCTCTGATTTGTGTCACCCTGTCTTATAGAAATCAGTTTCAATCACAGTTTTGGTTAAACTCGTAGTCTCTTAAACTACTTTGTAACAATTTCAAGATAAGGGTTTATTACATGAACAGACTGCTAGGCTGTTGTACCTGCATCATTCTTTGTACAATGTAATTATAAAAAAGTGGGCAGTATCAATATTGATTTAAAAAAAGAAGAATAATTATACCCATCCCTAAGCTTAACCGTTTCACCCTGCACGACAAGCATAACTTTATGTTCCTGAACCATGCACTAAAGGATTTTCCAGTTCAGGCCTGATGTCTTTGAAGGTGTGGGCTTCTGATTCCTTTAATCTTCTGCTGGTCATGCCAGTGCTCCTACTTTTGTAGTGGCTTTTTTTAAATTCTCTTCTCATCCTTTGGAAAACTATTGAATTTAGTTTGATTCATGGAAGTTGATAAGAACATTTTTGTTCCAAGTTTGTAAAGATTTTTGGGGACTGTATGTGAAAGTCAACCCTGGATCAAATTATTTTGGAAAAAAAATCAGTTTGCTATAGTCTGTTTACATTTTTCAGTCTCTCAGCATTACTTACACATTTTGTTTCACTGAATTTTTGTCGGTTTATTCGATTGAATTTCCACGCTAATTCTCCTTTCAAATTGTTAGGATGAAGTTGGGCTATCAGAAATTTGTGCCAACAATTAAATACAGCCCATGGTGCCATGTTAAAAAGCGTTTTTTGTCTAACATACAGTTACAATTTTAATATATATTTTTTTATGGTAAGATAAAAGTGGATTGAAAAAACATATGCTTTGAAAATACTCTCTTTCTAATGTGCTTCTTTCGAATGGAAAAGGTATTTCCATTTCATGGCTATTATTTACTGGCAGCTTGTGATTACTTTCTTCATTCCTTCATCGTACATTGATTAAATTATTGTATTGTATTATATGTAAATCAGAATTTCCCTGAACAATGTGAAGTCTTCAAAAAAGTTTGATTTGTCTTAATCCTGAACCTAGAAATTCAATATACAAGGATGTAGAATGGGAAAGATCTTAATAAATGAGCAAATGTTTTATCAGAGAGCAAATTCTTGATGTGACGTCATGTATTGTGAAACAGTATAAAGAGCCTTTTGTCTAGTTTTCCATGTGAAAAGACACACAGGAACTTCAAATTTCTCTGAATCAAAAGTTGATCATTATCATAGCTGATTGTATATTTCCAAATGAAAAAAAAATTCTATAAAACGACAGACAACTTTAAGCTGACCCTTCTGACTGACAGATGCTACATTGGAAGAGTATTTACATTTTTGCAATAATAGGTGAATTATTGTTTTGTTGATCTAAACCTGACCATGTGTCAAATTTAAATAGTAGTCCATTTAGCTGTGGCCTAAACATACTTAGCTGCTCTTCGGTGAGTCAGCATTCATATTTTAATTTCAGGGTACAACTTTTACTTTTCAGTCTTTAAAGTTCAAGTAAAGCTATGAAAGTAAAACAAACTAAAATGCCCTTTCCGTTGATTGTCAGAGACTGTTTGCTTACACTCACATTACCTGTGCCATATTGTAGTTCCTTAAATTAAAAACATGTTTTTGTAGTATGCCTTTCAAACTGGTGGCGATGGTTCATACAGGAATTAGAAAGTGTTTCAGACGATTTTGCAGATTAATGTGGTTTTATGTTCATTTAAAATAAAATCCATGTTGACACATGGACTGCTGCAGTCAACAGTGATTGCAGCATTAATACCATGAACCTCCTGCCCTGTGTTTACGAGTTAACAATACAATTAAGTTGTTAACCTTTCCTGTTTTTTTTATTGCTCTCAAGTTCAAAATTCAGCCTGTGAATCATAAATAATTGGCATGTCATCTCAAGTATTTCAATTTTGCATCTCCCAACGTATATGCTCAAGGCACATTGGAAAAATAATTATAGCTGTTCATTGATGTGATCTGCTCTGCTTGTACAATCTGCAGGGCGATAACTACTGTTGTCATTTAGTTCCCCAAACTAGATTTATTGAACATGTTGTTTTTACCAAAAGGGCTCGCTCTTTGTTTACTGTACAAACATTAACACGTACCTTGAAGTCAATTTAAAGAAATTTCTCACTGTGCCTTTCATATTCATTCCTCAAGCATTTTCCATACATATGTAGTGGAGGAGAAGCCTGTTGTTAAAAAAACATAAAAGCCTTTTACAAATGATGACGTTTTAAGGGGCTTTAATCAAAGTGGTGTCATTCTTCAGGTTGTTTTTCATATTTGAAGTTGTGTTTGTAAGAAAAGTGCCAAACTCTCTATTGTTTAACATCAAACTGTGTTTGAAAGTTGTCTGTTTATAATACTATTTTGACATATTGGACGATAATGCTTATTCTCTTTCTTGCACATTAAGAGATCGATGCCACTCTCATGTCTGTCCTGTAAACCTGAGACATATAAGAGATGTCTTTATCAGCTGCGCATTCATAAAAGGATCAAGGGAAATGGCTAGCCTGGCTAAAAATTTGCCCACCAGCAACCTTTAAACTTGAGAATGAACATTTTATGTCTTTATTGTAAACATCTTGGCTTTATTGCTTTTAGCCTAGCTTAAATAACTAACTGACGCCTAAATATGACACTACTGGCAGAAAGTTAGCTTAGCTTAGCAGAAACACTGGAATCGGGGAAACACCCAACCTGACTCAAATAATGCCAACCAGCATGCCTAATCTTACAAATTTACAGATCCTATCTCCTCTGTTTAATCCATTCTGAAGCCGTATTATAAGTAAAGTGTTACATTTACAGTGCTTTTTGGGGACATAAATTGACAGCAGAAACTCCTGAAGGTCGTTATGTTTGGTCAATTTGCATGGTGCTCATTCTCATTCATTCACATTTTTAAAGAATCCTGTATGAGTGGTGTCTGTTGAAATTTGTAAGAAAGCAAAAGGCTTATTTCCCCCAAATAATGAACTGTGTCTTCTAGGGTATTGCAAAAGCGAACTGAATGAACCGTCATTTGTTAGGATGACACGAAACATCATTTAAATATGTAGAGTGAAATGGCCAAAGTGAATGTGACTGAAAAAGGTATTAAATCATGACTAGTATGTTCTGTAGCATATAATGTTCATTTTGAGTAAAGGCATTATTGTGTTGGTTACGTTATGGTCACGTGGCTATGGTGCACTCCATGACTGTGATTTGACATCAGCTGCATTTCTTCTTTAAGTGCTGGAGAATGTGAAGTTAGAATTTTATTTATTTTATTTTTCAAATCCTGTTCTCATTTGTAACCACTTTAAATGTTTAAGAAAATACAGATTACATGACTATATAAAGAACAGAAAGAAAAGCCAGCAACATAGTTTGCACATCATTGCTACACATCATTTTCTGTGGTTTTTCATGTCATCTCTGAAAAAAAAAAAAAACTACCACAGGAAATCATAACCCAAATGCCATACTGTAAAACATCAACCTCTTGTCCATGCTATAATACTCAAAGTATCAGAAAACTGTAATATCTCTTCTTATTATTATTAGTGTGAATTTTTGCAAATCATTTTGTTTGTCTGGTACAACAGTTTGCTAACCACCAGAGGGAGATGTAAATGTACAGGTCAGAGCTGTACATTTTTGTGACAGATTTGTGTACTTACATACAGGTTGCATTGGTCTAACTTTGTGACTTATATATCAATCTCTGAATTGACTTGAGTGCCAAATATGCTTGAGCATGACAAAATCTGGGACCTACAAGGAACTGCAGGTACTCCAGGTCTCCTCAAGTGAGACTCCAGTGACTCACTACTGTTGTAGACTACTTGCGATATGAATGCACACCTGAAGGTTTAACCATGCAAAATATTTTTTGCTGAAAGAGGAAAAACTTAATTTTGTTTCTGATTAAGTTTTTTTTTTTTTTTTTTTAAATCAAAGATTTGTTGTATGTTTCTGTGTTCATCCATTGCTTATATAAATGAGTATGCAGTAATGGTCTTAACATGCTTCCATTAGAGGTGAATATAAAAAGCTGATTGGCTCCATTGAATGAACTGTCAAAAAGAAGAGTTGGGTCATTTCATTTTTACATCATTTCACACAGAAATTTGTTGTGTTATCTTACGACTTCTTCATCCTAGCCTGTCCCAAAACAAAATAAGCTTGACATAAGGTGAATTTTTTTCCATGAATTTTATCAATTATACAGTGTGGATTTGTCCAAAATGTACAAGTAAATGTAATTCTAATATTAAAATGAAGCTATGAAAATATCTTTTGTGCACTAAACGGTGTCTATTCTTTTTCTTAGTCCAATATCCAATTTCTCAAAGAATCGATTTACGTATTTGAGCAAACAAAGCATTTCCCCTCCAGGATCATGTGCCTCTATAGTACATTACATGTACATTTTTAACATTACCACATTTACCAGATATTTTTAAAGGTTTTTTTCTAGAATATTTTTATACCAGAACTATCTAATCAACAACAACTACAGTACAAGGCCTAAACAAAAGTCTATAAGACATGATCCAGACCGCACATGATGATCAAAACTGATTACTCTGGGAGGCAAGATGCTTTGTTTGCCCTGGCCTGTTGGTCATTCTTTAAGAAAACACTTACGACAGCAAAACAGACCTGTTTAAATGTGTATTGCAATGCACAAACCATTGTGAGGTTAATCATTCACCCTCCATCCCAGCAGCAGAGAAAAGCTGTGCTGGGATTAAAAAAAAAGGATGTTAACTGTGTTAACACCACTCACAATAGATTACATTGTGCAGCTATTTGCAGCCAAACAATCTACCCAGCATTTATTGATAATTGTTGCAGGGGACACATACATATTAATCATTTTTGCTTTAACCAGAAATTAAATCTTGATTTTTTTCAACAATTGTTTTGCAGCTGGATATGAACTTCTTCTGAGCATGTTCTAACTGTATGCCAGTGTGTTAACAATTTAAGAGCATGGTCCTTGTTAGCTGTAGAGATTTACAGCAAACTGTAAATATATGCCTTAAATGGTAGTTGTTCTGTCTTGTGTTTGTAAGTTTGTCTTGTTTAATGGTTATTGAATAATTGTATCAAAAGCGGAACCTCACAAATAAAGCAGAGCTTTTATTGTTTCTACTCTCCTCTGCGTCACTAATGTTAAGTCTGGAGGTTTTTAACTTAAGTACACAATTATTCATTTTGATGCAACAAAACCCAGGTAGATAGACAATGCTTCTATGTGGCGTCATGAAACTCACTCCACACTTTGTCCTTTGAGGGTTGGATTTCTGTCTTCGAGGCATGCCAAATGTACCTGAAATATGACCATCTAAAATTTCCAGTCTCTGTGGAGTTTTTACTACAAACACTTCACTGTGTAACAAACAGAGAGTTTTACATGGGTGCAACCACGTGACAGGCTGCTGGATTGCACATTTAAAAACACAGACAGTTAAGACAAAAATAGGTTTGGGCTGCCTCTGACATGTAGAAGAGCCTGCTTCTTGGCAAGTTGCAGCAACTGGTTATATTTAACTTTACTGATGGCCCCTATTTAGCAGGGAAATGTCCCTTCTGAATATTGTAAGAGTATGTAGCCTACATATTGTAATTAGAAAATCTTGTGACCAACATGAGCAAATTGTTACCGTTAGTCAGCTCTAAATGTTTTCCATTTACCTAAAGTTGCTATCAACATATTTTTGAGGACCCACCCATGAGGCAGAGAGAAAAATGCCCTTTAACGAATCACCATAGACCTAACAGAGGAAGTTATGGCCTTTGGTCCTAAATGATGTATTAAGTCACAAGAGGTTCATAACCCTCTTTGCAGATGTACTGTAAGTGCCAGCACAAGCACAGTTTTGGATCGACACAAGCTTCAAAGCTGGCTGTTCCATATGATGGAAAAGGAAACCAGAAGGCTGTCCAACACCAACTGAAAGTCCCACTGGGGACCAATGCAGCTAACAACAGTCCTCGCCTTGTTGACTCTCAACAAGAAGCGCTCCACCAGTAGGCAGCTCCTGGTGCTGTAAAGCACCCGCAAACATCATGGCCAGACATGATCACACCCAGGTTGGAGGCCATGCAAACCTTGTCTGCCAACTTTTGCAATAATTCCAGAAAACCCTGCAGTGAGCTTGAGCGCAGTTCAGTGGCCCTGCTCACACAACAGTCAGTGAAACACACCAGATCATTTGGAGCCAGTAAGAAGATCTTGCATCTGTTCTTCTGCTCCACAATCCAAAGTGTCTTGCAATTCGGAGGCCTAGTCTGGTTCTGTGGCCTCTCAATCCAGCTAAGGGCTTGGATACTAAGACTCCTGGGTATCTGCTCAAAGATGGTGGGACACTGTATTGAGGGCTCTCTCCTCGAAAGCCGCACTAAGCACACCTTTAGACTGACTGGGAAGATTGTCTCATGTCCTACATAAGAAGGGTCTGAAGTATCAACTTCTGCCCTCTGGTAGATGTTTTAGGGAGCCAAACTGTACTGTAAGAGGAACAAGTACAAACACTCTTTCATTCCATATCACTGCTGAGCAAACAGTAGAGCAGAGGTGGGCCACACCCCACCCCACTCATTTCCAATCATTACCTGACCTTGGCTGCACATGGAATGTGAGCACTTCCCCATTTTCATAGGCAATCTCATTACATAATTTATATATTTTTGTCACTCCTGCACTGTTTCCACACTGTGATTTTGATTGTGATTTGATTGTGATGCGAGGATTTCTGAGCTTGTAATGCAAAACAAATAACTTTTCAAATGGACAAATAAGTGTTATCTTATCAAACCAAAACAGGGTCTGGAACTGGCCCAACAGAAACAGGATCAGGAATGGACTTGAAAGATACAAGATCTGGAACAAGCCAGTGAGGAACCAGATCGGAGACTGGCGAGAGTGGAATATGATCAGAAACTGACTAAACAGGAGTAGGATCCAGGACAGACTTTACAGAAACAGGATCCAGGCTGGCCAGACAGGAACAGAATAGGAAACAAGTCCAATCAGAAATGGATCAAAAACTGGCATGATATGAACAGGATAAGGCCGAAGAGGCCAGACAGGATCATGTTCAGGAACAGGCTTGACAGGAACCGGATCAAAAGTGGGCCTGAAAGGAACCGGATAAGAAGCGGGCACACAGGACACCAGATCCGGAGTGTCCAGCAGGATGCAGATCAGCAGGTACTGGATTAGGAGCAGGCCCAGCATGAGCAGGATCAGGAGTGGGTCGAGCAGGAATGGGATCAGGAACAGGTACGTCAGGAACAGGTTGAAGGAACTTACCTCAGGAATAGGGTCTGAAACCTCCTGACAGCAACATATTCATAAATGGTCCCAAAAGGAACAGTATCAGGTGCTGGACATATCATCTGGAACCAGTGACTCTAGATGTGATGGGATGTCATCTGGTCCTCCCAGCTCTGGATATGACTAGACTTTGTCTAGGTTTCTTGTTTCATGAACAGGGACAGGGACAGGCGCCAGTTGATCAGGAACAGGATCAGGAATGGGCCCAATAGAACAAGATCAGGAGCGGGCCCCATAGGAAAAGACTCTTGACATAAAGTAATGTCTTCAAGGGCCCTAGACTCTCATCCCGGGAATTCTGATATCAGATAAGAGGAGATGTCATCAGGGACCCTCAACAGGGTATCCTCAGGGACCCTAACTGGGATGATGTCAGGGACCCTGGGCTATGGTCATGACGGGATGTCTTATGGGACATACAATTCTGGAACTGAGAGCTTGTGTTGCACATCAAGAACTTGAGGCTGAAAATGCACAGCAGTAACTTGGGTTATGGGCTGAGAGCCAGCAGTGGTGACTGACTTTGGGTCAAAGAGTTCATCTGAGTATTGACCACACTGGGTGACTAGGATACAGAGAGTTTTTTAGAAGGCCTAAATGACAAGTTTGGATTCACAAAGTTTTGGTCCAGAAAAGGCAGAAACAGCAAACTTGGATCTCAGTTTATGCTGTCACAAAGTTTAAAAAGAAGTAGGATCTTGGGGAAAAGAATCAAGCAGACAGCCAACTGAGAAACTAGAATCGAAGCGGACTGTGAAATCGACTAGGTCAGAGGAACAGTGGCTGGCTGGGCCACAGGAATAGGAGCCAGCTGGGCAGCCAACTGGGCTGTAGGAAAGGGGGTCAGCCCCAACAGAAACAGGATCAGGAATGGACCCCAAAGATACAAGACCTGGAACAGGCCAGAAAGGAACCAGATCAGAGACTGGCAAGAGTGGAAAAGGATTGGAAACTGGCCAGACAGCAGTAGGATCCAGGATGGACTATACAGAAACAGGATCCAGGCTGGCCAGGGAGAGGCAGACAAGAACCAGGAGGACAGAGACAGAACTTACAACAAGGCTGGCTGGGCAGAGGCCAACAGGGTCAGCAAAGGGTTATCATTCCAAGTGAAAGTGCTGGAAAGTCTTGCATCAAGGTAAAGAACAATCTGGTCATGTGTGTCTGAAAAGGAGAATCTTTTTTTACACTGGATTGCTTACTGGTGAGGAAAGGTGAGCAGAGTTGTGGTTGAGCGCTTTTGGTTTAAACCAGTATTTCTGGTTGGACCTTAGTGTTACTGGAGAGCCCCTATTGACATGTTCAGGCTTGGGTTTTCACTCTTACGGTCTTTTACAGTGAAGAAGCTGTTTGTTCCACGGTGTTATCATCAGATTTGGTGAGTATTGTTCATTTTCTCAATTTATCCAGGTGAAAATACCCATTTTTCTTAAGATGTACATTTTTTCATGCTCTGTTGGTGATAAATATTTTTTATGTACTGTACATAGAAGTGCTTACATTATAGTACAATAACTTTTTGTTGAACGCTTTAATGCACTTTGTACTGTTTACAACTTACATTTCATTTGTTCATTTTTTGTTCTTAGCTGTTGTGTTATTACACTGAGACAAATAAAAAAATCTGATTTTGATTTTCACTGATTATGATACACAATGGCCACAGGCATAGAAAAAAAACAGGGAGTAATTAATGACCATAACTAAAATTGCTACTTTCCAGTCCTCCTTTTCCCCTTTCAAAAAAACAAACAAAGACAAAGACAAGACAAAAAACTTCAGATTTCAGAATTAAAAAATGTGCCTTTTGCCCTATCAGATATTTCTTATAATACTATGAATGAATGCCTCACTACTGGAACACTGAAAATATTTCAAAGCACATTCGAGACTCCACAACAGAGGCTATTTAAAAACTAAGGTAAGATAAATTGTATTGCTGCCACAGTGGTAAATCTAACTGGCATGGTATCAGGAGAAGTACAGTAAAATCAATATATAAAACAAAAAGAGGGAAGTCAGGAAACATAAAAAATAAAAATAACTTATTGATTTACAGAAGATGTGGTACACCTTTAGTAAACTATTACTAAAAAAATATCAGCGATGATAACATACAATGAAAAGTGTATGAATGAATAGAGCTTCAGGGGCACACAATAATGCATCTACCTTTTTTAGAGTATAAAGATGTAACACTCTAGAGGTTATCACAAACAGAATAACAAGTGCAAGTCATTACATTATGAGGAAACTTGCAAGTGACAATTGGCATCACTACTTCCCACATTATCTTTTTTCCAAGATTTACAACTTAAGCTGCAAAATCCCTATGGGCAGATGACTGGAGCCTGTTTCCAGCCACTGACAAAAAAGGGACGGCTCAGCTGATTTGGTTTAGTTAGGGTTAGGGTTAGTTATGAGGGCTAATCTCAATGACTAAAGCTGCCCTGTCTCAGTGGAAAAATACAAAAGGGAAGTGATAGTATACCTTGGATCGTTGCCAACTCTTGGTCAACTCTGACGACATGGTGTGCACACCAAACTGACCAATAATTAGGTCGTAAAGGAACCAAAGGAAACCGTAGCTACTTTGTCTCTCACTCTGGATCTGCCCATGACATGTTTGTGTAGAGATCCTGCTGTATGCCCAGCTGAAAGGAATACTGATCAGTTTGTTGTTGCTGGGAGCAACTCTTGGGGGAGGGGGCTTTGTGATGGCGGGGTAAGTACCTCAGTATGTCTCTGTTTTACACTTGGCTGCTTAATGCATCATTATGAATCTAAAATATGCTCTGAAAAAGTGCAGCTTTCTGACAAACTCCTGCCACTGAAAACTTTCCATTCCTGATAATCCTGCAGCTTAAACAAATAAACAAAGCTTATGAGAAATGCCAAATAATCAGCTGAGTAGTTGTGTCTAATAGCTCAGAGCAGCAAAGGTTTGACAGTTCTTGTCCTATTAAAGTGGGGGTGGTGAAGGGATATTACAGGTCAGATTTCTTTGCATTGGTTGACATTCTGCTGCTGTTCTCCAACATGTCAAGGGAATTCCTGAAAGGGAACAGCCTCGAGACCCCTGGTCAAGAAAATAGTCTGGCTAAAAAGACTCAGCTGTTGGATCGTGGCCAATGGGCAAACAAGTTGGAGTTCTTGCTGGCTGTTGCAGGAACCCTGGTTGGGCTTGGAAACCTCTGGAGGTTCCCCTATTTGTGCTACAAAAATGGGGGAGGTAAGCAGGAATTGCATAAAAATCAGTTAACGCTTTTCTATGTTCTCTACTCAACAAAGACAAAACAACTGAGCTGAATCATAGTGTTATGTAAACAAATGTTGAAAAGTACCCTTGGCTCATTCATAAAATCAGATAATAAGGATGTTGCTCAGGAATGGCTTAAAGCAGCTGTTTGTTATGAAAGACACTGTTCTCTTTGTGTATTGAAAACTAATGCTTGCATCAAGTCATTTTATGTCAAAATCTCTTACATTTATGAAAGTTATACAAGTTCTAATAAGGTTTAATACAGAAGTTGTCATGCAAAGACAAAGCTAAAAGAGCCTTGAGAAAGTAAAGTTTTTGGCTGTGTACCACCTTTTTTTTGTTTATAGTCAAATTAAAGTCAGTGGTATAGAAACAAACAGAACGATTGTGTAATTGTTTTCCCAGGCTTCTCACTCTCATTATGTCTCTCTCAGGCGCATTTCTGGTTCCATACGTCTTGTTCCTTCTTTCTTGTGGTATCCCAATGTTCCTCCTGGAGACGGCCATGGGACAGTTCACATCTCAAGGGTGCATTACATGCTGGAGGCACTTCTGCCCCCTTTTTGAAGGTCAGTTTTTTAAACAGAACTGAATCATTTTTTTATTTTTATTTTTAGATGTGTGTTTTATGAAGCAGATCTGAAAGACAGAAATAGAGCTCTTTCCCTGAAACTTTGGAATGTTTTGGAAATGCTCCCTGAGGTTTAATTAAATTAAATTAAATGATCTAGCTTATTGTTATGAGTACAATGTAGGATATTTATTCCATTCAATACGGGTACATACTGTACATAGATACGGAAATACAGTTACAATTATATTTTCAACATTTTACATAAAAAAAAGTTTAAATAGTAGGGAATTAGTAATGTCATGAAGCAGCAGTCATGTACAGTATATTCCATAGCCAAATTTATTCTTACTTGTTTTTTTGTGAATGGAAGTGGTGTACTTTTTTTTTCTTTTCTTCTTTTTCTTTTTAATCTTCCTGTTTCCAGACTGAGACATCGTAAAATTGACTTTGCATAGTTTGACTTTAACAAATAACACAAGAGTAAAAGTAGAGGTTGCAGAAGCACAAAGGGAGAGCTGTTCAACAGCATTTAAATCAATGAGAATCAATGTTAATATTAAAGGTAAGGCTGGCATCAGTACAACTTTCTTATATCAACATATCCTTCCCTATCCCATTGGTCCACAAACATCCTCAAAAGCAGCTCAAACATCCTCAAAAGCAGCTCCCAAATACAGAATTGTATTTTTTAGGAATGTAAATATTTCACTTAAACAGCTGGGCGTTGTGGCTATCAAACATTATTTAAACAGGTATAAATAGTGAAGAGACTATTTTCATCAGTGTAATGCACATTCAGTTCTCCAGTGAATGATTACAGCAGCAAGACTTTACGTGAAACTGACATAAAGGCTTTATATGCAATTTTTTTGATCCAGTAGATGAGAACCAGCATGAAACCAAAACAACTTGCGCTGCATTGTTGTGTCAGCATGCTAATGCTAGCGATCTTTATTATGCTCATATCTTCACACTGCATGTAAATTTACCCGAAATGAGCGTGATCTAGAAACACAGTTAAGCAGTGAGTACAGTATGCTATTCTTCTTTTCCCTAGTCCCTCAATTAAAAAACTTTTATTGGCGAGGGGATGAGTCAGCCGGCGAAAGCATCACAGACAGTGGGACTCTGGTGTCACACCCATTGTAGACAGTCATTTTCAGAGGATATACTTGATTTCTATTACATTTTAGTGTGAAAAATTGCATATAAAGCCTTTAAAATAAACTTCATTATATATCCGAGTGATTATGTCCTGGTGGTGAACACAGTGATTTGGACTCAGAACAGCTGCAGTCAAATCTCTTGTAGCTCAAGATGAGCAAAAATCCTGCAAATTGGCCCTTTCAGGACAACCGTGTTCATGTGCCCTGCGCAACCAAAAGCCAACATTTACATATTTGATTTCCCTTAAGGATGACTTTATGATACCATCTCAAGTGCCTATATCTTACTGAATTTTGACCCTTTCAGAAAATGAAGTTTGAAGTAATAACATTTTAGGCATCACAATTTATTTCTTGGGATAAATCATGAAAAGAAAAAAAAAGACAAGAAAAAAAAGAATAGAGTTAGGAGTTTGTGTAACTCATGCATGCACCAAAACCTATTTCCTGCACAGACTTTGTCTTATAAGCGTAAATAAAGTTAATACATTTTTACTGCCATACAAATAGGGAAACTAATTCTGTGCCATATGAAGACATACGGCACAGAGACAACATTTGCATGGTTTGAGATTTAATTTTACAATCTAACATCAACCAACAGCTGCATCTGCTAGTATACCTTTGTCTCCAACTGTGCTTACATCATGACACTAACCAAAATCTAATGGACACAGCCAGAACTTCAAAAATAACAAACCTTCTTCAAAAGATGTGATGTGTCCTACATGATAAATTGTGCCCACCACTGTCAAATGTATACATTTACCAACCCTTGTGTGTCTCCTCAGGGATTGGTTATGCTACCCAGGTTGTGATTGCCTACGCTGCGGTATCATACATCGTCATCCAGGCATGGGCTTTCTTCTACCTCTTCTCATCCTTCAGGGCTGAGGTTCCATGGGCCAGTTGCAGGAACCCCTGGAACACAGGTAAACATGCATACAGATGCAGAAATCAGACCAGTGTGCCGATCTGTTAATCATCAAATTATTTTGATATTTGGAGTACTAGTGAAGCACAACGCACATGGATTTGAACAGCCACAGATATGCTGGATATGATCAGAAATTCCCTAGCTTTTTGATTAGATGATCAAATCACGAGAACCACAACAGCCCTGTTGTGGCCTTGCTTTTGATTTTTTTTATTGCTCATACAGGATTCAAACGTCATCTTCTGTTTTTAGTTATACTGATAAACCAGACAAATTTTACACACAGGAAAAGCAGGGAGTCATTCACAGCTCATATCTGTATAAGAAAGTTTTTTTTAATTTTTTAAGAGTAAATAGAATTAGATTTGTTTTGTGTGATGAAATAGTTACCTACACTTTAATTAGTTAAATACCATTCTACTGTTTCTTTCCTCAGAAACTTGTGTTGAATTTGATAGAAGAAACGTATCGTCTAACTGGACAGCAGCTGCAAACGCAACAACGCCTGCGACAGAATTCTGGGAGTAAGTGTAATTCACACCTGTCTTACTTTTCAGAAGATATCACATTTCTTCTGAAGGCTATACAGTTTCAGAGTACCCTGTTGTTTTGTTTGTGGTTATCTTTTTCCTTTGGTATCGTCAGTTCAAATGTCGACCCACTTATTGAAAATATAACTGTTGAAATTTTAACCTTTCTAGTGGCAGGATGAATTATTTATTGGTAATCCCTTAAGCTTTCCTCTTGCTCCTCAAACAGGTCAAATTCTTTTTTTTTATCAACTAATTTGGATTAAAACTAAATACTTGTTAAATCTCTAAGAACTTTTGAGCACTTTAAGGTAATGAAACATGAATTATCATGTTCATGCATGAACTCATGCATGAACAAAACATGAATTCATTCATGTATTCATGATGAACTATCAGTACAGCACAAGTATTAACAGTATCTCATGTCTGACTTCATACATTAATCAATGCATTAACTGAAGTGTCAAAGAACATGACTAGTGAGTTAGAAATTATGTTCTTGATGTCTATAAAGGTTAGTCTGCAGTTAATGGGACAAGACAAAAACTGACCAATCTTCTGACTGTAATTAGATACTCAAGTTTGTAGTCGGATAGGCCCACTCTAATGTGTCGTCAGATATTCCAGTTTGTAGTTGGATACTACAGTTTATACTGCAGTTTGTAGTTGGATACTCAAGTTTGTAGTCTTGATTTTGACAGCCAGCTTTTATAGGGCTCAACAGTGTAGTTCCGGAAGTAAAAATCCCATTCATTTTCTTCATAGCGGATTTGATTATTAGCCATAATGTCACAACCATCCAAGGTAGACTAACCACAAGCTACCCATGTATAGAACGATGGTATATGCTCCTGTAGGAGACACCAGTTTGTTTGATACAACCTCCTTTTAGGAAAAACAAGATTTATTCACAATATCGGGGCAAAGCTACACTACCCACAATGTTTACCCAGAGTGTTTCTGATTGGTTGAGCTTGCTGTTACCATGGCAGTGTTTCCCGCCCCCAACAGATATGTTTTGCTAGAAGGCTAGCTAGTTAGTTAACTAACACGAAATGTACTAATGACCTTGTCATGCGGCAGTGAATGTAGTTCATATTTTCCACAACACAAACAACAAGATAGTACAACACTTGCATTAACAGTATAAACACTATAACAATGACAAAAGTTACTTTTTTTACGATATCATTCACAATGGATTGTGGGATAGGTAGTTCCTTGAAAAATTATGTTCACGTTCTTGTACCTTTGCCTTATTTCCAGTTTTTTAATGCCTTTTTGGTGCCGAATTAAATGTACAATAGCCACGAGTATTGGGGTAGCTGGCTGTCTTGGTTCCAGGTGCCAATCTCTTGACCAGGATTTAGTCCTAACTTTAAGGGGAGACTCTCAGAAAATGTTATGATTGATATCGAGATTTTTTTTCAGAATTTCATCACCAGGAGCAGCTCTTTGTACTAAGAAGTAGAGAATCATCTGAGAGAGCTCCTGGCTTTAAAAAGTAGTAAGGAGTCAAGGAAACTCTTATCTAGGTGAGAAGGCCTAGTTGACCCCTGTTGCTAGGTATAGCACATTCTTTCAAAAGCTGTGACTGATTAATACAGCTCCTGGGGCTGTAATCACAAAGGTTCCTTAGTAGTTGCTCCATAGTGACAGTAATATTAGAAAATTCTTAGAATGATGACATGTTTTTAAATATATAAAAAGTTATAGTCTCTGATAAGTGATATTATGTTTCCCTACAAAATAATTGAAAGTCAAAAATGATGATCTAGTCTGGAGTTATATTTTTCAAATATATGATACCCCGAATAGAGATAAAGGATGGCTTTAATTGAGATGTTAGAAAGATAATTGATAGATAAGGGACAATTGCTTTATACATCTTGACTGGTTGGGATTTCACAATCATACCACCAATAATTGTATGTTATTGTAAGTAATGCTGAAGTAATCATGATTACAACACTTGGAATTCAGCAGACTGGTCAGTTTTTAGTCTTGTTACTTTCACGGCAAACCTATGAAGACATCAAAAACATCAATAATGACTCATGATGACTGAAATGCCTTAGTTAATGCAATAATGAATGTATGAAGTCAGGTATGAGACACTGTTAACAAATGTGTATTACAGATAGTTCATCATGAATATATGAATGAATTCACACATTAATTCATGCATGAACATGACAATTCAAGCACCCTTACCATAAAGCTGAACTTTTTCATCTGCTGCAGCCTTACTATGTATGTGTTATTTTGGTGCTAATTAGTTCATGTTAGCAAGCCAACACACAGAAGTAGGGCACATAATGTGTTTGTTGTATGTTAGCATTCTGTCTTTCTGTTATAAAATAAAGCTGCTATATTGGATGTAAACTAGTTGTTATCTGCCAAGAATACTGTCAACTTTTCTTTTACTGAGTGAAACGTAAAAAAAAAAAAAAAAATAGACCAAAAAGAGAACCTCTTTCAATTCTGTCAACTGCATTTTAATCCTATGTATTTGGTTCCTAACATTCACACAATGGGCAGCTAAGACACACATACAGGATTTGAAAATGGTCACTCGTTTCTTTGGCAGAGTAATGGTCAATTGTTTAAATAGATACCATAAAGAACATGTAGTACACTTTAGTTCAGGCAATAAAAACATGTTTAGACCCTTTTTTATGATGTGTTAAAGAACTCAGTGAAGGAAGAGAATTTCTTTCCACCAGACATTTGGCCAGATTGTTTTTGAACATAGTGTTAGTGTGTTGTGTTACTTGCTGCCAGCTTCAGAGACACAAATGACTCATCCATCGTTTTTCCATGTCAAATGACTCATCCATCGTTTTTCCATGTCAAATGACTCATCCATCGTTTTTCCATGTCACATGCTAAGCCAAAAATATTCACTTGTGGTAAAAAGCAACTCTTAAGTCTTGAGATTTTTCTTAATTACTCATTTCCATCTAAAATTAAAAATAAACTAGTTGAGGGACAAAAAAAGAGCTTAATGTCACAATGTGATCACTTTTATTCAATATTGTCTTAAAACATTATTAGTTTTAGTTTGAAAATGAGTAGTTGCTTAGTAGGTCCCAGTGATTTTGTGTCCAGATAGTTTTGGTATTATAATGTTTTTGTTTACAGGAGGCGAGTTCTGGGTATATCCGGAGGGATTGAGGAGGTCGGTAGTCTAAGGTGGGAGTTGGCTTTGTGTCTCTTACTGGCATGGGTCCTGTGCTACTTCTGTGTTTGGAAAGGAGTGAGATCCACTGGAAAGGTAATAATCTTTATTTGGAAGATCACAATAGATTAGATAATCTATGTGGGTGTTTGTGTGCTTCTGCTATAGCTTTGAAAGATTCATTAAATCAAACATTTTACCATTGGCTTATGAATGCAGAATCCTTAAGTGAAGTAGGAGGATAGGATAGGATAGGATAGGATAATACTTTGTTGATCCCAGAGGGGAAATTTGGGCGTTGCAGCAGCACAGATAAGAAAGCTCAAAATACACATTAAACAGAATAGATAAGATAAATAAAAATAAAAATGAAGTACAAGAATTAGTAACAACCAATCGAATTTGAGCTTGCTTATTGTTGCATGCATGAAAAAATACAAGAAGCAAGACCGTAACGGTTAAAATGTATATACATGCCCCTCTATGGTAGTCAGACAACAAGCTTAAAGCTTATCTTAAAAGATAATGAGGAAAAAACAACAGGGCATTTATTAAAAAAGAAATCCTATATTTTGTAAACACAGAAAAAGCAGTGAGAAACTGAAATTAAGCTGATAATAATGGAGTACGGTAATCACTGATATTCTGCAGAAAACACAAGCAATTCCTTATTGAGCTGTAGTCCATCCAAAGACTATAAATAAGGACTTAACTGTCCTTTAATTTCTTACACTATAAATCATAAGTCATAGTAAAAAGTGTAGTTATTTATCTCAGCTGCTAAGGTTTGACAGGCTAAGGTGTTTCATGTTTGATGTTGTATTTCTGAAGGAGCTGCATGTCAATGAAGTAATATTTTACAATGACTCTTTATTAACTCCCCCCCACCTATCTTATATAGCTGCTCTAGTGCAGCTACTTGTCAAATTCTAGAAATTACATTCGAGTAGTAACAGTAAAAGCAGAAACTTGTGTTTGTCTTTTGTTAACAGGTGGTTTACTTTACAGCCACTTTCCCCTATGTAATGCTTATTGTTCTATTGGCCCGTGGACTCACTTTACCAGGAGCCATGGACGGATTAGCCTTCTACCTGTATCCTGACCCGACAAGGTTGGTGGACCCTCAAGTAAGTGATCGTTTCAAACATTCAATTTGAATATAAAGACAGTCTGCTAGCTCAAATGCCTTCTTCTGTAAGCTCAAATAGTGTAAAAGGATGTTATAATATACTGTATATTTGAGCAACAGTCTACACTATTATCATAGTGTAAGTTGTAAAGGTTTGCTAATATTTGGCATCTGCTTAGGTTTGGATGGATGCAGGTGCACAAGTTCTTTTCTCTTTTGGGATTTGTCAGGGGAGTTTGACAGCTCTTGGCAGTTACAATCAGTATAACAATGATTGTTACAAGTAAGTGTTCTCTGCTCTGTTTTTGAATATTGCATCATTAAAACACATGTAGCCTGGGAGTCTAATATTTTTCCTAATCCTCACATTTCAGAAACTGAAACCAACAATGTTTGGCATATGAGCTTGAAAAAAGACTGAGATATACTGTCAAATAACTAGGATGACAGCCTTTCATTGAAATACATTTGTGCTAAAAAAAAAATAGAAGAAGTACTGACAGTTTCTGTGTGATTATGATATAAACACTATTTTTATGAAAACCAGACTAAAATGACTAAAAGCCAAGTACTAAATCATTAAGTAAAACGTAGGAGCCTTAGGTTGCTCTTAAAGATGCAGAATAATTATTAAAGTCACTTTAAAATTACAACGCTTTGTGTAGAAATGATGATAGCATCTTTCCATTATTTTACTGGTCTTATTAGTTGTACAAATAAAATCCTACTGTAAACCGTAAACTGATGCACTTGATGCACGATTTGTAGATTGCTAAGAGTGTAGTGTTGTTTTTAATACAGTAACTCAGAACCACTTAGTTTAGACTTTTTAAAGAGACTCGTGCATAGGATCTTGGTCTCATCATCGTCTTGTTTTTTGAGAAGAGTTCACAATAATTGGACTTGAGGGTGAAATAAGGGAGATTATGCAATGCCTTGTCAATCACAAGTATACACAGCCTTAGGGTACTCTGCTGTTTTTCTCTGTATACTCTAAATTGGTCCATACCTACCAAAGTAAATCTTGTGCTTTCTTGAAGAAAACACTTGGAACTAGTGAGTGCGATCATCAGATCATTGTTGAATTAGTGAATCAACTAAGAAGAATCAACAAGTGGAGTTGCCCCCTGCTACCAGGCACAAAGAGTGCAGGCTTTTAGTACTTAATTCGTGCGGTCAAAGATAATCCATTGTAAAAACATTTGACATTACTTCTTGTAAGGTATCATCTACATATTTAACAGAAACTTTTTTCTTCTTCCTTGTTCCCACAGGGACACATTTGTTCTGTGTTTGGTGAATGGCGGGTCAAGTTTTGTAGCAGGGATTGCTATCTTCTCGGTTTTGGGTTTTATGTCCTATGAACAAGGACTGCCAATATCTGAAGTGGCTGCTTCTGGTAAGACACACATGATAATTACATGTAATAGACAGAGTTGAAAGTTAAGCTGTTTATATGTGCTTTAATTACAGGAGTGTCTGGCCCTGTATGATTTAAACTTTCCTTTTCTTTATGAATTGTTATAGGCTGATTCAACTTTTTTTGTAGTTTTCATTGGCAAAGCTGTAGGTAGCAGGCCTTCCAGGTACCAGGTATTCTTTTAAAAAATGGTGTCATGCAAACTAAGCCAATATAACAACAGAAAAACCTGTGTGTATTTATGAAGGTCTCTTTTACTTTGGATTGGGATACATGCAGTCATAGAAAAACAGGAAAAACTCCAATTGACTATCTCTTAACCAATTAAAATACCTTTATTTTATGGCATGGTCGTCTAGACCTAAAGCTTAGGTAATACTTAAAGTTTAAATTAAAACAAGCATTAACCTGGTTTTGCTATTGCTTTTGAATGGAAAGCAATGTCAAATCTAATCTATCCTTAAAATGGATTAGTGGTGATTCTCTTTTTTATTAAAAAAAGAAAATATATATTTTGCTTTTGCAGTTTTACAAAGAGTGAATACATAATACATGCCTATATGTAAAAAATAAAGACATTTGGCAGCCAAGCCAAACAGGAATTTGTGATTTGAGAGACGGGACAGGACGAACCAGACACGCAGGACACACAGGACACACAGACGGGGCAAAAGTCAGATAGATGAATAGGATGGAATCCAGGAAAGAATGAAGGGGTCATGCTGATTGAGCAATCTAGAAGTACTGCATATTATGGTTTGCTTTAGTTTTAGTAACAAACAAGAAAAGAAACAATGTTTATAAATAATAGAACAAAATAAAAATGAATAAATTGAAAAAATGAGCAGTAAAAGACAAGTGGTGATTCTCTGAAAGTGTTCTTTATATCGTTTACATAACTAAAACATTCAGCCATCCTTGGACAATTTGTTTTCTTAGTTCAAGCCATACTTGAAGTCACACTCACATCTCCTAGATTAAAATTATCTCAGAAAACACTTGAGTGACAATACCATCCATGAAGGGTTGTCAAACCCCAAACCACTAATCCTACTGTTTATATATAAGATGAATTGAGTTTTCAAACCTGGCCTTAGTGCATCCTTTTGATTGGAAACAAACAGTGAGGTTTAAGGTATCCTGAAGGTAACAGTGTCTTTCGTGATTGCATGTATAATTTCACCAAGTTTGGATGATTACAAGCACTCTGCTATGAACCTTTATCCAACTGACTGAAGGCTTTATTTTTTCCTCAACACTCAAAATCTCAGAAATGGCACAAATATTGGTTACCCTCACATTAATACCATTCATGATTTATTCAAACTAAGTACATTTTCAGTGTTTTTGCCATCAGTTGGAAATGTAAGTGTCAACCCTGTTAAAGGTTTGTTCCACCAACAGATGGAAAAGTTTCCCACACACCCCAAAACCACACCTGAAACTACAAACAACAATGCCAGTACAGACAACTCCTATGAGAGGAGCCTTTGTTTGCCCACAAAACCATACGTGCAAAGCTTCAGCTGTACAGTCAATCTGATCCAGATTTAACCTCTTCCTAACTTTGAACACAAACAGGTCTGTAACTTTCTGTAACTGTGTCAGTTATGGGAACATTACTCGTTCTTGTGCTTATTTTTTATTTCCGATTATAATCTCTAGCCCAAATAAAAAATAGACTTTGTTATAATGACTCATAATGAAGTTGGTGAAAACATGTGCCGATGCTCATGATAAGATATATTGAACACTATGCACAATAATCTAAAATGTTAAATTGATGTTTTCAAATACAGGACCTGGCTTGGCTTTTATCGCCTATCCACGTGCAGTAGCTATGATGCCATTTCCTCAGTTATGGGCCATATGTTTCTTCATCATGGTCATCTTGCTGGGTGCAGATACACAGGTGTGATGGAAACATGTACTTTTGAATCCTCAGTTTAGTGTTATTATCAATGATAGATTAATAATATTTGTGTTAACTCTTTGTTCTGTGTCTCTGGCAGTTTGTGAGTTTGGAGTGCCTGATGACCTCAGTGACAGACATGTTTCCCACTGTGTTTCGAAGAGCCTATCGTCGAGAACTGCTGCTGCTCTTTCTCTGTTCTGTTTGCTTCTTTCTCGGCCTCCTTCTTGTCACAGAGGTGAGAACTTGGTCTCTTTAATAACTTTTCATTTCTGTGCTCTGTTCAAAAAGGCCAGACCTTACTAATTTTTTTTTTTTATTGATTTACCATTTGCACTGGACATGTAGTCACCTGCAGGCTTTTCATTAAGAAAAATGTAATTTTCACAAATGTGTATGTCTTTTTTGGTGTTTTATTTTCATTAACAACCAGTCCTCTATTATCCTGCAGGGAGGCCTGTACTTCCTTCAACTCTTTGACCATTATGTTTGCAGTGGAAACAATCTTCTACTTCTTTCAGTTTGTCAGTCAGTAGCGATTGGATGGATTTATGGTGAGTCACATGGCTGTCCTTGCTTGAAATAATCAATATTATACTCATTAATTAATGTTTTCTTGCTGCTAAACTATTACAAGTTGTTGGACTTATCTTTCATTCGTGCTTACAATCTGTAGACAAGAGGTTGCATTCTTGGGAACGGCCAAAATAGCGACTTGAAGTGGCATACACCAGACTATCAGGATTTAGCTGCATCGCACTTTACTTTTGCTTCAAACTCTGATATAATTTGTTGCTCATTAAAGTCAACACAATTCATCAGAGGCAGCATACGTATCTAGGGGTTGTAGCTAATGTTTGGCCAAACTATGATCATGACATGAAAGGAAACGAAACACTCACAGTAGAGGTTCAGTTTGGGGACCAAAATTACTTGGTTAGGTTGAGGAAAAGATCATGGTATAGGTATAAATTAAATATGTAGGCCTATGACATTGATGTCAGAATACAGACCCAGCTGACCAAGTAGATCTTAGTTTCTAGATATAACTTAGTCCATATTCTAATATTTTTAATTACCATTACATTTTATTAATTCCAGTAAAAAGTCATGATGGTCAATTTAAGAATTTGTCTTATCTGGGGCACTGGTGGCACAGTGATTAGTGCGCGCGCCCCCCCATGTATGGAGGCTGTAGTCTTCCAAGCGGGCAGCCCGGGTTCGATTCCCGCCTGTGGCACCTTTCCCGCATGTCGTTCCCTACTCTCTCTCCCTGATTTCCGACTCTATGCACTGTCCTATCTCTACATTAAAGGCAGAAAAAGACAAAAAATAAAGTTACAAAGGGGCAGAAGTCAGTGTGTGTCTACACAAAATCAATCATTACAAACATGTAAAAAGTAGTCTCTGTTTGAAGCAAGGTGTGAGGTTGTGTGATTTTCTTTTCTTTTGGGGATTATGGCAACAACAAAAAAGACAAACAAAGTTGTGGTTTTGCTTATCCATACAATAAATGACAGCCCCATGTAAGTTAACAAGAACTGAGATCAGGCATAAAACACTCTGTGATGCATGAAGCCAGAAGTCACAAAGTGTTGGGTAGCAATTCATTGTTGATTTATGCAAACTCTATTTGAAAGCTAAATTGTTCAACACCTGCAGGGATGTTAAAGAGACATTCGTCCCTCTCATAAATGCCACATTCTTTTTCCTGAAAACTGCCTTGTATATTTTGCTTCTTTTTTTTTTTAAATCAGCCCTAAGGCTGTACAAAAACAATAAAGTCACATTTTAAGGTAAAATCTGTTAATACATTGGCAATTCAAAGAAATTGATACATAAACCTTGAGGCTTTTCAAGGTTTGGTTCATGTTTTTTTTTTGCGAAAAACCAAAGTAAAGTCACTAAATAAATGACTAAAAAACATTTTATTTAGTGGTTGGTCATGCTGTTAGCCTCAAGTATGGTCAAACCACTGATCTTAGAAGAAGATAGGCTTGCACACTTGCTCAAATGCCACAAAGAGTTTTAATTCATCACAACGTTTCGACCAGAGGTCTTCTTCAAGTGATCATTTCTGGAACAAAGGAGGGGGGGCATACCCATATACTGTATATATACATTTCAACACCAATAGGCTGACTGGCACTATGATGACAGGTTTGGTCAAAAAATCTAAATGTCCCGAGGTGAAACACATCTATAACGATCATCTTTAGCTTCAAGAAAAGTACAAGTTGGAGCACTGGTGGCACAGTGGTTGGTGCGCGCACCCCATGTGAGGAGGCTGTATCCACTGTCTTAGCCCAAAAATAAATATTTAAAGAAAAGTACAAGTTAAACATATAAAAGCAACATATATTGTCATACACTTATTTACCATGCCATTACCTTCAATAAAAAATAAAAAATAAATTAAAAGTGCATAAGTATATCATTACAAATGAATGTGTAATTTTTTTAAATAGTTTTTAGGCTGTTGTATTATTTTGTGTTACTAGTTTTTGAATAGGTTTGTTAGTATGTGTATGGCTGTCGCTACGTTATATACCTAACTAACCACCTTAAAGAACAGTGGGGGGTCCCCAGTCTCCCTTGTTTTGGGGGTCATGAGCTGAAAAGTTTGGGAGCCTGTGCTCTATAGCATCTAGTTTTGTTCTCTCCGTCATTTATTTTTAAGCTTTTAGCTTGATTGACATTTAATCCTCTTCAGAAGGGGAGTTTGGTCTTTTTGGGACTTGTTATTGAGTTTGAATGAAAACAAAAGATTTGAGAGAGTTCTATACATTTATAAAAACGCTGCCCCTATTGTATATCAAGAGGGATTCAAACGGGGCCTCAGAGAGGTGTAGGGTACGGTGAGAAAAATGTACACACGGTACTTTTTAATCCCAATTAAAAACCCAATGAATTCCTGTTTGTTTGCATACTTAGAATTTATATCCCAGTTTGAGTATACTCAGATTAGCAAGGCTAATATTTATGCTACTTGTTTTTAAACATTTCTTTGGCCTTTTTAAGATGTCATTTGTTTTCTTGGTATATAAAGTGTCTTGATCTCAGTTTTTATGTGTGAACTTGAAAGTGTTAGTGAATAAATCCAGTGATATGGTTGAGGGCAGTCTTGTTTAAAAGTATGCATGCTATAGCACTTTAAAACATTTATAATGTAAAAGAAACTGTTCATAATGACGTAAACAGCGTGCCACCGGAGAATGTTGAGAGTAATTCCACACCATTATGTTATGTTTAGTTGATGTCTTTGTTTGCGAAACAGTTATGGCCTCTACAAATTTAGATGAAAGATTGTCGACAATCTGCATCAATAAGTGTAAACTTAATGACTGACGCTTATTGTGGTATTGATTTGACACTTATGACTTGATTGACTATCAGTACTGTGATTATTTAGCAGAAAATAGTGTCAACCACATGTTGACACTTTAAGGCTTTGCCCAGTCATTAAATGTAAAACCAGGTTTGTTTTAAAGCACTTTTCAGATCAGTATTGTATAACTGTTATAGTTTAACCTAATTCTATGTGGCCGTGCAGCTTAGCAGAACATTTGTATGCCTTTGTATATGCTAAGATCCTGTCTTTATATTGTATACTAGACGTTGATGAACTCACATTGAACATTTGGATCATGATAAACAAATACATATTTAATAAAAACAGAAATTAAAGAGGGTTTTTTTTTTTAAACAAACTGACATATTTACCAAGTAAGATTTAAAGATGACTGAAACACCTTCTAAGTATAAATCTGGATGTTCATTTTTGATTAACAGGAGCAGATCAGCTCTACGACAACATTGAAGACATGATAGGTTATCGTCCATGGCCACTCATGAAGTATTGCTGGCTTTACATCACCCCCACTGTTTGTCTGGTGAGTAAGTTAGTTTCTTTTCATCTCCACAAATAGACCTATGTGGTGAAAGACAGTACACAAGTCAGTGTCTGTGAGCTGTGTAATAAACAAATCAAAATGTCCTCTATTTCCATCACTGTCTCTCTATAACAGTGTATTGTTAGTGGTGATAGGTGAGGGATAAGGGAGTGAAAGAGCTGAAGATTTGACGAAAAAAAAAGTGATGTACATATGGACAGTGGTTTTTTGTTACAGAGAGTACAAAAACAGGTCTATTTTACAGATAAAATATCTCCTACTGGGAGATGATGCAGGGACTGTAGAACTTAGGGAATCATATAGCCACCAATGTTTTTATGGTTTATTATGAAGAGTACAAAAGACATAGTGTGTGCTGACATTAAACAGAACTAACATGGCCTTTTTCTACACCTTTTCCATTCATTCTTCCCCCTGCCTACCACTTGTTCATACTTCAAATAGACTCTGACCCCAAAAACAAGGCTATGAGGAATGAGATTGGTATCTTCAAAATGACTGATAAATATACTTTAAGACCAAAGGAAATCAAGGCTCATTATAAATTTAGAAGATGATGAAACAGCAATAAACCATTAATGAAACTACAAACCAGCTTTAACTTTTCAAACTAATCTTAAGTGTTCTCAGTTCAGGCAGCCATCCAAACAAGAAATGCCAACGCTGTTCTTGTGAACAAAGCCCGCTTGTTACATTGGATATGCAAGACTTGAAACATTAACATACACTTAGCCTTAAGTATGTATGTACCAGGACAAAGTATGTGCTGCCCTAATAGCCTCTCCTCCTCTGGGAAGGCTACACGGAACAAGGTTAGGCCATTATGCACTGAGGACATTGCCTTTAATCATCAATGATATAATCCATATAAGTCTTGCTTCATATAGCCAAGAATGAGGCAGTGTTGTGCAAACATCTCTCTGAGGTGAAATCTCTAAGCCCATTGGCTTTTGGCATTTGACCCCAATAAAGCCTCCACAGGTGATTGCAACACTTTTGAGGGTTACGGTAAAACCAGCGGTATAAGGGATGAAAAAAAACAAACTTTTAGCTGTGACTGAACATGCATTCTTTTATTTCTTTCAGTCCGACTAGCATCTTGAGAAGCCAGAATGGAGTTGTAGCTATAGGATCGGATTAAGTGGTGCACTCACTCCAACTGTTAACCTGTCAACAGCCAAAGCCAGCAGAAATACTAGAAACAATACAACTCGGATACTACTCCAGGACATTTTCCCATTTCAAAATCCTGTCAGTTGTGTCAGATACTGCAAATCGGACAAATAGAGATCTCCTGAATCTGACTTTTCATTTGATCTGCAGTCAAAGTGTATCTTTGTGAAACTGTCCCCAGGCCTCTGTGTAAGCCAGTCAAGCTTTCTCACATGACTCAGAAAATATGTACGTATTTCTTAATCACTTTACATGAAGGAATTGTCAAGTTGAAAGAGGGGAGTGCCTTCCCCAATTTATTTTTGTAATGCTTAATATTTGCTGCAAATTTAAAACAAGCCTTGTCTGAAATAAGTCGTTTTACTGTGCAATACATACACTCTCATACCCAGAGTTCACAAGAGTTTCCACACAAGGTTTTCAGAATAATTTTGTTTATATAGGTTGAATTATATTTGACCAGTAAAATATTCATAATGTATGCGTGTGTTAAGGTTATGTTGTACACTTTGAACTTTGTCTAACTGAGACCTCACTGATTTTTACAAAAACGCTTATCTTTTTTTTCTTCCTATTAGGGTACCTTCATCTTTTCAATTGTGAAATACAAACCTCTCAAGTTCAACAAAACCTACGTCTACCCGACTTGGGCTTATGCTTTGGGCTGGTCTCTTGGACTGTTCTGTGTTCTACTGGTTCCACTGTGGATGATCTTTAAGATAACTCAGATGAAAGGGACGGTGGGGCAGGTATGTACTCAGAACAGGAAGTATCAGAGGAATATTGTTTGACACCTGATTTGTAGCTAAATTGAATAGTCGATGGATGAAAAAAAAAAAAGCCAGATGTCTTAAATGTGTTTATTGTCATCGTTCAGTGGCTAAATCAACCCAAATGCACGACTCAGTTCAGTAGCAGCGGTCTTTTAACACATCTCTCCACAGTGCATTAATAACACTATTTCCAACAGCCAAAATGTATTATTAGAATAAACTGGGGGTTTGTATCTGTTAACATGTCAAAAATGGAAAGTCAGGGAATAATGTATGATATTCATATTGAGGGTAAATAAATATATTTAAATTCATCCATTTGTTCATTCATCCAAGATGTTTGTTGACCTCATGGTGGAGTTTAAATACAAGTCCTGGGACGCAGGGATCAGTGCTCCTTCCTGTTTTATTCAGCTACTTCCTTCCTTTTCATATAAAATATTGAAAGTGTTATTCATTGACAGCTCACATAGGAAGAAACCCTAAAGGAGCAAACCAATGTTTCTGTTGTTTGTCATTCTTTTTTTTTCTTTTTTTTTTAAATGTATTCCTTAATTATATGTAGGGAAAACTACACTGCACCTCAATATTTTGACTTATGTGGACCCTCTTCCTACAGAACCTCAGGCAACTTTGTCGCCCTGAAAACAAGACACACAGCACAGCAAAGCAACCTGAGCAGTACCCTTTGAACCCGGAGAACACACTTGGTCCTGCTGCCAATGAATACAAGGCAAATGGGGGAGCTGAGATGGAGATGCAAATGTGAGATACTTTGATAATGTCTTAAATGTTACGCTTGTACCTTAAACTTAACAAGTTTTACAAGCTACATAATGATAAGCAATATATTTAGAAGACTTCCAGGTCCAGTAGTTTACCATATCAAGTCTGCGTCCAAGACAATAAGCAGTGAGTCTTGTCTTATGGTTGAATGTCTCTGCTCTTCAGCTACATAGAACACATACCGTATTGGAGCTTATGAAGTTTTGAATTTACAGTTAAAGCAAATTTTTAATGTTTATGGTTAAGATGATTCATGTGTCCATGTTTCAGTGTGCCCCCTTCATAGCCTCATTTATTCACCATAGGTAAAGAATAAAATATCTCTGCATGCTTACGATGGACCTAAAAGCAATGAAAGTTGTGATGATGTAGCATTGTTAAGTATGTCAATGTAAGTTGCAGTATTTGATGACAGAGATTTTAGCTAGAGGTTGTGAAATACAGTTACTGACAAGGGCAAACAAGCTGCGGAGCCTCTGCAGATTTTCAGAGGGAGAAACAGGCTTCAAGTTCAGAAACAATGCAAATTCTTACATTCATGCAACAATCCCCCCCAAAAAATAGGACAACAGGAATGCGCCAAAATTACTTAAAGCTACAATAATAACAATTTGGTTTGGTGCTCTTTGGCGCCCACCATAAGTATCTGAGTGCAACTGCACCGTCATAAGTCACACATAGGGCACTACTCCTTTCCTTTAGACAATGTGCATTTGTTTACACATATACTGCGTGAAGCCGGCAAAGACTTTGCGAGAAGTTAAAACAACATTGGAAAGGTTCAGAAATATTACCAGATTTTGCGCAATTGTGTCTCTGGAAGTGTCTGCAGCCCGCTGGTTTTAAACTGTTTTTAAGCTACATGTGGAGTATGTGTACATGTATTCAACTGTTGTGGCTAAATGGCTACATTGGAGAGATTAACTCATTATGCTAGTGGAGATAAGTTTGTAAGCCTCCAGACTTTAAAGCTAACTTGAAGATTGACAGGAAAGAGACAACTCTTTGGCATAAGATGGGCTTTTTTGTATGCAAACCTGAGGCATAACTCCTGGTAGAGCTGCTCAACACGACACCGGCAAAGAAACTGCCTAAATGTAACGTTGAAATCTGTTATGAATTATATCTGCAAGGATGTACACTCTGCTTCTTGCTTGATGCTCGTGACAAAATTCTTAAAAAATTCCTAGAATCATGAAAAAGTTTTTAAGAATCTGCCCTCAAGCCTCTTAGCCGTCAAAATAGCTCATAAGGTGTCAAGCTAAGTTAGGAGCTCTCTGATTTGATCTGTTGTGATTGGAGGCAGCACCACACACGTGTTTGTCCACCTTCAGTACAAAAACACTAGATGGCATACTATTAGCAAGGGGGAAACTGAAATTCACAGAGCAGAGAATTCAATCTTTAGCAGATGCAATGTGGACAGCCAGCATGCGATCATGCGCGACGCCACATATAACGCTCGCGTGCTGTGACCTGGATGTGACACGGTGTGAGAGGATTCTCCGAATGTTTGTGAATACAGGCCATGAAAATTTGTCAACTGTCAACGAAATGCACTGACTTTTAGACACTCCCTTTCTCTGACAATGAAAAAATGAAACTGATCATTTAGACATCAACAGCAGCGGATACATAATCAATTTATACATACATTTTCGGGTTCTGTTAGCAATTTGTGTTATATATTTTGTAATACAGAAAAGTTCATTTGATTCTGTATTTTCTTTATTATATTCAAATCCTACAAATGTATTTCAAAACAGTGGGAAGCATAAGTCAGAGTGTGCTACAATGGTAGGCTAAATATTGCTTTGTTTAGTTGATCTTTGCAAAAGAGAAACAAGCACTCCGGACAAAGTCTTATTTCCTGTTTTTTGCAGATGGAGATCTAAAGCCACATATCTTACCTTTAGGCCAACTAGAAAAACATTCAGCAGTTAAAATCATTTATCTTTAAATTGTTTCAAATTATCTGTAATAGGATAGATGTTTTCTTCTTTTTTTCAAAAGAAGCTGCTTAAAACTGAGTAAAATGGAAAATTTAATGCAGACAACAAATGTACTATTTTCAATTGAGAACTTCTTTTTCATCTTATAAAGAATATTTTATAATTGCATTTATTTTATTTTTTTAAAACATTGACTTAGTGACCTTTGAGCATAATTGAACAATTTTGTCTACAACTTGGCTCTGGCAGTTTGGGAAGCCCTTCTTTCTTTATGCCGCTGACTTTCTACACAGAGGTTGGATTAAATATGTTTAAGCCTATTTCTTTTTCTGTTCTGTGTTAAAGTTTTAAATTTTGTCCAGCATATTTATTCCACTTTATTAGGCGTTAATGTGTTCATTTCAATCTAACAGATTTTGATGCTAAGCTACCAATTGCATACCCACAACTGGATATTTGTTTTTGTTTTTCTTATACAGTATTTTCACTGATGTTCAGACAGTCACATTAAATACAATTTTCTTTAACATTCCAAATGATAGCAATGTTCAACCTTTGTACTGCTTAATGTCCAGTATACTCAAGCTTTTGAGTTATTTTCCCTTGAAAGTTGCCCTTTCAAGCCTCATTCTCTTCTTCTCAGGAGCAAAGACTGCTGAGGCACATGGGTAATGTAGTACTTACAGCATTGAACTGGCATAAAACAATCTCATGATTAAGTTGAACTACTTACAACCAATAGCCTAAGCCCTTTAATTTGACCAATGAGGAAGTTACTATATTTTCTGACATATGATGTATTATGCAAAGTCTCAAATGTTTTGACTACATTGAAGCTGATGTATGAAACATGTTCTGATTTTTCATTGTTCTTCTAGTTTCACTGTTTGTCTTTGACAGCATGCATGAGTTACTTTTATTGAGTTATCTTTGGATATAACATTTGATGCTGTTGACACCACAGGCCAATCACAGAGATGCACTTTTTCAGGCTACTTAATGTAGACTTTGTATAAGCAATGCAAAACTTGTATTTTTCTTAAATTGTATCCATGCTACGAGAGATCAATAAAATTTTGTGTCATATTTTGATGATTTTGAATGAATTTGAACTTTGTACCAATTTGCTTTATATTTTAACTCTTATCTTCATTGTGTTTGTCACAACTGATAGAAGGTTTCTTTACAGGATTTAGTCCTAATAAATAACAAATTATTTATTGAAGCACTTGTCTGGGGTGAATATATTAAACTGTAGTTCTTCTATGATACTAAATTTTACTCTTCAAGACATAAGAGAGAAACATTATAGTATCAGCAGCTATTACAGTTATTCAAAGTGTGAAAATGAAACTATGATTCAGATTAAAGATTCAATTTATTGTCAGCTTACATGGGAGTGAAATGCTGTTCTCATCAAATCGTGTGACTGATCACAAAACCTCTTCCAGCACTGGTCATGAAGTATCTTTATGAGATTTAGCTGGAAGGACTGAATGCTGTTTGAAATCTTAAACCTAAGACCAGCAGTCAACAAGCTTTCTGTAAACTGCTGAAATGTCACTGCAATCTGACCGGTCGGAGAGACCAAAGTTCCTGCAGAGCCTCCTGCTGTGACCTTAAAATGCTAAGCTGCACACAAGTCATTCTTGCAACTGAAAAATTTGGAAGGCACAGATTAATAAAAGCTGCATTATTAAGTGCTAATTACAGGAGAAGCAGACGCAGAGAGTCACAATTTTAATTATTTTAGATCTTAGCGCAGAGTTTGATATTGTTGATCACACAATTTCAATTGATCGTCTCGAAAAATGGGTTGGTTTAAAGCATACTGCACTTAGCTGGTTTTACTCTCATCTTTTAGAAAGAACCTTTGCAGTCACCATCGGTAACTACTCCTCCTCTACTGCTATCATTACCTGTGGTGTACCGCAAGATTCGGTTTTAAGTCCCATTTTATTCACCATTTATATGCTGCCTCTTGGCCAAATAATTGAACGCCACAAAGCCAAACTCCACTCATATTTCAAAGAGCAGCCTTGGTCCCTTATTCACCAATGGCCAACCCACCACCAGAAATCTAGGAATAACATTCGATTGCAATCTCACCTTTGAAACCCATATTAAAACAGTTGTCCGATCATGCTTCTTCCATCTACGCACCATCTCCAAAATTAAAACATTACTAACCTAACCAGACCTTAAAAAGATCATCCGCGCCCTTATTTTTCATCCACGCCCTCTTGTAAACCTATGTTTTTAAAGGTGCTATATAAATAAAGTTAGAAGAATATTGAAAGTTCATTTGTGCCATGAACTCGTAGACTTTTCAAACAATTTCCATGCCTGTACAAAGGCTGACTGTTTTGATGTGTTAAGTGAGATTTGCCTTGGGTGCATACTGGCTGTCTGCCATTTCCCCTGAAATGTCCAAGCTACCACATTCTGAGAACATGTCTAAGTGTAGAAACACATCTATTACACGTTAAGATTAATCCTTCTGCCAGTCAGTAACCTAAAACCTGGATTGTTTTTTACGAGGCCACTGAAATCCTCATTTACAATCACTCTTAAAATGAAGCGTATGCAATATGTTCACTTTTAATAATGAAGTATTCAAACAGGTTGGTGTTTTAACTTTAAGCTGGATTTCAGAGAACTAATATTGGCTGGCAATGCAACATAAAACGACATTATGCCCATGAGACTTAAGCTCCCTAGACTTTTAACATGTGAATATCTCAAATACCAGCCATATTTTCTTCTCAAGCCATGATGATTTATGATCATTTAAATTTGACTTAAGCCTGACAGACTAATGTACTGTATGTTCTGACTATGTTGAAATAGTTTTGCCTTGGGTAAAAATTATATGAGCGAGTCATCAGCCATTCACACCTTGTGTAAGTGTGAGAGAGAGCGCCTCTTTAAGAGTTCAATACTATGTCTAACAAGAAATTAGTCACACAAATCCGTCACACATCTATGTGCTGCAATGCTGCTTTCTGAAGGTCCCCCTTGTGGCTGGAATACCTTTCAGTCTTACAATTTGGCAAGTCCATTCAAATCTGCTGAAGACAGTCCCCAGGCAGTCCCAAAACTCAAGGATCCATGCTTGTGTTGCCATTCGACTAGCTCGCCCTGGGCAGGATGGCAGACTCTCTCTGTAGCCTGTTCCATCTCTCTCCCATGACTACTACACAAACAATCAAAGAGCGAGGCAAGTGGGCAAACAAGAAGGAGTTCATCCTGTCTGTGACCGGTGCTATTATTGGACTTGGAAATGTGTGGAGATTTCCATATCTTTGCTACAAGAATGGTGGTGGTAAGTGTAACTATTTCTTCTTCTGTTATGTTATTTTTCCTATACACAAACCTCATCTTAATTAAAATGCTGTTTAGTGTAAGATGCAGGCAAACTTTTAAAAATGTTTTTTGATTGCTTAAGAGAGGAATAAAGAAATTGCCTTTTTTTTTAAAAAAAATATCTGTATCACTTTATTACTCACAAAGACACAAATATGTTTTTCTTTCTTTTACTTTTTGATTGATTGTTGAAATTGTTGCTTTTAAATATTGTAGGACTCATTATGATGAACAATAAATAACAGTGGACTGAGTAAAAGTACACCTACTTAAACAGAGGATTTATATACCATAATAAACTGATAAATTCATTTCTTGATTTTTCTCTAAATGTTTGCTGTAAAACTCTTAAATTATCCACCTGTGCCCCCCTTCTCCCCTTGTGTCACATCTGATAACAAAGGAATTGACAGGTTCCAAAGCCTATGACAATAACCTTATACTCATGTTTATGAAAGTGGGAAGCGAGTGCTGTAGTTTTGAGGCACAGATAGAAAATACCCTGAGAAGTCTTACACAAACAGACGTCTTTGGTCAGCCAATCTTAATTATCTGACAGTGTAATATGGTCACAGGAGTTCTGGGACCAAACCGTTGGGTTTCTTGTTAATAAGCAAGAGGATTTTTAAATTTATTCCGTAGCTAACAGGCAGCCAGTGTATGGAGGAAAGAATGGGAGTAATGGGCTCCCTCTTTTGAGATCTAGAGTCAAAACTCAGGCTGCTGCATATTTCAACAGATGGAGATAAGAAAAACAGGACTGGATGATGTTTTCCTGCAAAACAGAGAATTGATCTGAGTTTAGAGGTGATGCTGTTTTTATTTATTTATTTATTTATTTGATAGATGGTCTTGTTTGTAGAAAATCAAAGTTCAGAGGTAAAGATTCAATAGCAGTCAATATCTTTATTTGGCCGTAATAATTTTTTTTTTTTTTTAAATAAAAAATAAATAAAAAAATGAAAACAACAGCACCATTTCTATTGACAAAGTTTTTTTTGTGGGATCAAGCAGCCCAACGTAAAATATGATTAGGTTTTATCCAAGAAATACATTTGATTGTAGAGACCAAGGGAGTTGAATTTTATCAATCAATCAATCATTATTTGTATAGTGCCAATTCATATAGTGCACCTGGAGACGCTTTACAAAAGAGCACAATTTCAGTGGTTGATTGTAACATGCATTTTTTTTCAACTTGGCCCAATTGTTCTTAACAGCACATTAAAGCTATTTATCTTCTTTAATAATGTTTAAACAACTCTTTTTTTTCTACGACAACACTGCAAATGTTGTACTTTTTACTCTACTACAGGCTGTGTATAAAATAATTAGTAATTTTTCACATTTCACGTTTTTATAACCTAGCTTCCCTGTGAAACAATGTAAATAAATATAAAAGTCCTTAAAAAATACCTGCAACCCAACACAAAGGGTAGCCTATTACATATGTTATTTTTGATGTTATATTCAAGCAGTTTAAACATTTGTTTTATCTACTTTGTTTTTGCTAGTTCTACATTGTTGATTTAAAAGCCCATGTGACAGCTCTGGATTTCACCTCATGCAGCTTTGGTGTGATGAGGTTCAAAACCACCACAAGTTAGCTGATGTGAATTTGATTCCCCCTCCATCACTCCTAGCAATGTTTTTGTACGCATCACTTTTAATTTATATTAAAATTTATTATATTTATATAAAATTGATATATTTATTTATTCATTTTGCCAAAGTTGTATACAACATATGTATAGGGCACTTCTAGGCTATATATAAGTAGGCAATGCCACATGGTGATCTAAATAAAAAAGTGTGTACCACTTTTACTGACAAGGTCATGTTCTAAAAACCTATTTGTGGCCGAGGTCCGAAATCAACACTAATTTGGCAAGCACCAAATGCGGGTAGATTTTCCATTTGGGATAAAATTTCACAGGGCTATCCACCACGTGCCGTGTAAAAATGATACCCAACTGTCATATAACCTATAAAAGGAGTTTAGATATAGAGTTTGTTTACAACATAATATTATATTTTTTTTAAAGTATGTCCCTGTCCTTTGGGTGGTCTTCATGCTGTTTACTTCATTTTTGAAGCTTGTATCGTTCTAATCTATGATTGGACATTTGAGAAGTCATGTTATTTTGATCACATGACATCACAACTTGTGCTTAGTTTTATTGATTTTCATTTGTTGTAGGAAGACCTATATCGACTGGAGCTTAGGTGTCCCACATTAGGCAGTGTCCCACATTTGGCTAATTCACCCTACAGCTCAAATTTGGTAGCCCATGGAATAAGTTAACTGTACTATAACATGTTGTAGTACCATCAAACTCACAACACACATAAACCATGTCCTCTTGATGAAACTTCAGCTCTTAGTTTGTTGGAAATCTGTTGAGATTTCCATGCAGGCGCATTTCTTCTAAAGCTCTTTAATCCTAAATTTCAGGCTGCCAGGCAACACAATGTTATTCCTCTTTACTTCTCTCTGTTATGGTGTCAATCATGTTATATCTTCTCTCTCTTCTTTGCCGTATTATGTATCTCCATGCCGTAACTCGGGGGGTGAGGATAGCTAAACCGTGAATATATAGGGGCATAGTATTTAAATGACATTCGTTCAATTTATTACAATACCATGCAAGTTACCTTTTGTGGACACCCTCTTGCATACAAAATGTAATATCAGGTATAACTAGAGGACTGGAGGAAGTCAGCAATTACCAAGTTGTTCTTTGTTGAAGTAGTGCTTGACTGACATTTTTTAAATGATACATCATTAATGACAATAACTACAAAGGATGAGTCACAGCTAAAGTGATCACCTTGGTCTCTTATCAGTCGTTTACACTAGTGCATGGTTTGTCATTTTTACTATATAAGATATGTTTTTCATTTTACACTTCAAAAATCTTTGTGCTTGTGATTTGACTGATTTAAATTAAAAACAGTTTTGTTGCCAGAGCCTTTTAAGTAAGGTACTTAGAGCACTCACTACAGATGCAACTATTTTAACACCTAAAATACTCATTAAATGAAGAAAAGAAACTGAGCCAGTGTCAGTTGGGGCTTTATAATAAGACCAGCATCAGTTGATATGATGCTATGATGCTGATACTAAGTAGTTCGCTTAATAGCAAGTAGTTTATGGATTTTCTCAACCAACATCACTTTGTGCATCATAAAGACACAAAACCATATATTTTGCTTCTATAAATTGCTTTACATTGCATTGTGGGATTGTTCAGCAGAAAGTTGAGTAAATTTCATGGAGACCATTTTGCCATTACTTTCCCTTAAAGGGTAAACACTTACAATTAAAGTCATTCAAAAGTCCTTCCTTGTGTTTTGCACTTTGCATATTGACCATTTTTTCCTCATACTTGCAGGTGCATTCCTCATTCCTTATGTCCTGTTTCTTGTTACCTGTGGCATTCCTCTGTTCACACTGGAGACAGCACTGGGCCAGTACACCAGTCTGGGAGGAATCATGTGCTGGAGGAAGGTGTGCCCCTTGTTTGAAGGTGATCAAAAACTATAGTCAAGATGTACAGGTCAGAGTTGAGCAAATTAAGGAAGAAAACTACACCAAACAAATTCTATTATTTTCTTCTGTTTCCAGGATTGGGATACGCAAGCCAAATCATCATTTTGTATGGTGGCATCAGCTACATGGTGATTTTAGCCTGGGCATTTCTCTACCTTTTCTCATCCTTCTCCAGCAAGCTGCCATGGGCCACCTGTAATAATACATGGAATACAAGTAAATTCACTTTTATTCCTCTTCCAACAACACACCAATAACTATTGGGGTGTGTCAAGTTTCCATTTCAATTTTATGTTGAACTATAAATTCAAGTTTATAAGTTATAAGTTTATAATTTATTTCCAAGTTCATTCTAATTACAATCTTTACAAATAAAGACTGTATTATCTTATTGATTTTGTAATAATAGAGTGCCTGACAATTGTATCTTACCTAATCCATATCACTACTATTAAATAACAAATTAATTAAATTGAGCAAACATTTTCAGTTTGAGCTGTGTTTAGTAATACTCTGATATACTACAGATTCTTGTGTGGTACTGAACAGCCATAATTCCACTGCCAACTGGACCTCGCCTGTGAATGCATCATCATCTGTAACAGAGTTTTGGCAGTAAGTTTTTATCTACTGAATTAAGAAGAAATTAGTCAAAGATAATCAAGGGACAAGAAAAAAAAGATAAACCTATAATAAATGTATGCTGTGTTTATATGGAATACATTTTAAGGTTCACATAACACCTTGAAAATCTTGAAACACTTTGTCACTTTGAATTATGATGTGAACAGGAGTGCTCTGCTTATCAAAAGTTCCATATAAAATGCCCTTCTTACACATAATGAGGTAACAGTATTGTCTAACGCTGGCTGGGTGAGGTCAAACTTTGCTCAAGTCACTGAAATGTCTGTTCATTTTTATTGATTCATGTACAGGCAGGATGGCTATGGTATCTGTTTTACGGTCTGACACAACTTCAACTAATTTTAACGGTCTAATCAGCAGACAAAAACACCTGCGTGTAAAACACATTTAGAAGCCTTGAAATGGCTTTCTGAAATGTAGCCTACTATTACAGCAGCATGACGCACAAATCAAACATACCCTTGAACTAAATAGCACACAGGTGTTATGACTGCTCTCTTTATCATATCATATCAATCTATCAGTCAAGCTAGCCTCCTCATGTTTGTTTACATAAAAATTCAAATTCAAAAGTCAAATTCATTTAAATCACAACAGAATATGAGAAAACTATATTTTTGGTGATGCTTCTTTTTTGTAAACATTTTATGTACAGAGCATCTCTCATCACCAACAATGAATCCTGTTCAGTAGGTCAACTACGATGCAGACTCACCGTTGGAGGGTGTAACAAATCACTCCCGGTCCACACTCAGGTTTTGGACAGCCCTGAATGTTGCAGACGCTCCACAGGGGTGAGAAAGGCCCCCAGAATAGCTCCCACAGCAGTTCACTTTACAAAGTGTTCTAATCAGCCAGAATAATAAAAAAAAACACCTGTGTGCTGAAGATGAGACGGGCCTGAACCTTAGAGCATGTAATATCATCAAACGATTGCGCAGCTTGGCTTTCATTATCATGATAGACAAATTGACTTGTCAATCACAGATGTATTTAATAACATGAATTATGTCTGCTTTTCCTTTGAGTTTGCCAGCACCAGGAATTTAGTATTGTTGTGTCTGGTTTATCTGGATAGTTTAATGTAACAATGCAATTGTTATTAGCTAAACCTTTGATTTCAATTTTTACAAAGAATACATTGATTTTCGTCAGTTTTCACACTACAACATTGCTAAGAAATGTTATAAATACATGGGCAGAAGATGGTCTCTGTGTGGACACGTCTTATTTTATTTATTTATTTAGTTTTTATTTTACAGGGACATTGCATTATAATAAAAATTTCTGTAAATATGCCAGATTTAGCCAAAAGGCTAATTTTCATCTGTTACAGTTTTGTTGTTGTAGGGAAAAAACACAAAATAGCAATAAAACAGATAAGTTATGCTAAGTTGTATCTTTCCTTAAATTATTACTTGACATATATTTGGTCCTTACAGTCGACGGGTGCTGAGAATCTCATCGGGCATAGACTCCCTGGGAGACATACAATGGGACCTTTCTTTGTGCCTTCTTCTGGCCTGGATCATCTGCTACTTCTGTGTCTGGAAGGGAGTGAGATCCTCAGGAAAGGTGAGGCTAAAGATCTAAAACACAAATAAGACCTTTCCCTCAGCCATTTTTATCTTTATTTTATCTCTTTATTTTGACTTTATCAACACATATTGATCACTTAAATCTTACCTTGGATCATTCCAAACAGTATCTAAACTCTTAGTATCAACATCAAGTCACCCAAAACGTTTTTGTGTCAGTTATTAGGTCAATGCTACCAAAATGTAAAGGGCTGTACTGGTCAAAACTATATTTTTAATGTTTTTTCTCAGCAAGTCAGTCAATCCTGGGAAAAATTCCTAAAATTAAAAAGGTTTAATTTCTTCCACATTTTTGATAACACTGACTCCTTACTGTAGGCTACTATATTACTTTTTCAACTTGCTGAATGCTACTTTATTCTGTAGCATACTGAGCTTTTTAGATTAAGATTTCACGATAGTGTAGTAGTCACCGTTTAGTTGCAACACCTGCTAAAGTAAGTAAAAGTAATTCTTTGGATGACGTAAATCTGTGATTTTCTTTCTCTGCCAACCTTTTTCAGTATCAGTGGCTGTGTAAAGTAAACACATTGATTACGAGAAGCATGTTATGGCTGTAAGCAACCTCTGACACCGTAGTCTGAAACTGTCTGGCTCCCACTGTGCCTAGTAAGCAGGACAAAGAGACAGTGGTTTGATAAGTACAGTCAATGTCAAGGCCAATATAAGCAAGCACATGCAGGTTCTTTTGGCGTAAAGGATGTTTTTGCTTGCCAAAGCACCAGTCTGCTTTGAAGTTCATATCACCCCAAGTCTCTTCTTTGCCAGACATTGCTTAAGAAGAACATAATGTTGCTCAATACAGCAGTTATCAACTACATAAACAAATCCTTTTAAAATAGACTGATCAGAAAAATCATGAAGAAAATATAATCTCTACTCTTCCTCTCTGGCATCTTGAAAGGTTAGTAAATCAGTAGATATCCTTGCTTGATAAAAAAGGTATTTTGCACCTGTGGTTACCTTAGACCTGCTCCCGCATGCATTCCACTCTCAACTGCCACTCACTTTCAAGCCCAGGGTGTCAAGAAAGAATGATTATGAGTGATTTTTTTCACCTTGGTGTGAAAAATGGCCACAGGCCAAAGCTGTAATTAGTGGGAGGTTCAAAGGATGAGGAAGACTGGCATGAGGTCTGTGTTTGTGGGAAAGTGAACTGGAAATGCTGACTGACAAAATGCTACAGACAGATGTTCGTAATAGATCTTGTTTTCTGTCGCCCATTGCTTAACATGAATTTTTTTCCACCTGCTGTAATTTTCCCTTGATGACTTAAGCATGAGTTACACAAGTAGATCTGGTTCGATAAATTAATTGGCAGGAAATATCTCACGTAACTTGATATGTGTAAACTTGTGACTTAATGGCAAGCAATAGAATCCTGAGAGACAATACAGGTTTTTCACACCTGTTTCAAGGTGGTGTGTGTGTTGGTGGAAAAGTTACTGGACTGGCAACACTCTTGGCTTGTGTAATAGTTGAGTAATCGAGTTGTATAATTGTGTTATGCCACGTTACAAAACATGTCACGTGACAAAAAATGTTAAAAAAACATAGAAAATAGATAATTTAACTTTTGATGTGATTCATCTTCTGTGTTGTTAATGCAACAAAGAGATTGTTTTAACGGTGTTCTTGTATTTTGCAGTTTTATTGTTTTTCTAATTATTACTTTGAATTGTTTTTATACTGTCTACGGAAAGCACTTGCTACAAGGTACAACATTTCTATATTTTATATATATATATGTGTGTGTATATATATATATATATATATATATATATATATATATATATATATTAGGATATTATAACATATAGTGAAGTACTTTTTAACTTGTAACAAAGACATTTTCTATCTATATTCAGGCTACCTACTTCACAGCCACTTTCCCCTTCGTAATGTTGGTGGTGCTTTTAATTCGGGGGATTACCCTTCCAGGAGCCCTGCATGGCATCAAGTACTACCTTTACCCAAGTCCTGGACGGCTGGCTGACCCACAGGTCTCACCTTGATTATAAATACAGTTGAATTCTTTTATGAAACAAGTAGAATTGTTTTTAGTGTAATGATAAATCTCTGGTTTTTAGGTTTGGATGGATGCTGGAACACAAATATTTTATTCGTATGCTATATGTTTGGGATGTCTCACAACGCTTGGGAGCTACAACAAGTACAACAACAACTGTTACAGGTAAATACTTGATGACAGGAGTGGTGAGGAAAGGGACATTTGAATGTGGGGAGCTATTGTAGGGAAGGGGTGTAAATAGCAGGTGCTTCAAATTATAAAAAAGAAAAAAAGCAAGGTTAAATAATGCTTTGGTTATAATTGAACAGCAGGTTACAACATGACAGCCTTCAACGTCAGCACATTCACTTGTGTACATCAATAATGTACCTATCAAATACATACAAAAGGCATCAATCAGAAATAAGCATCATCAAAATAATTGTCGCAACAAAAAGCATATTTAGGTTAAAAAGAAATGCTTCACTTGTTAACAAAGACTGTGAACAATGTCCGGAGACATTGAGGAACATTGAGGCTTTATTTTACAATACCACGGAATCTAGAAGTCTTGAAATGTGTTCTCCCAGAATCCTTAGATGCAGGACTAAAAACTGTGAAGTATGTTTATGTTATCTGGTGCATCAGACTTCGGAACCAGCCACTCAAACCAAGAATCACAGGCGAATGTTCATCATCATTTACATTACTGGAAGCCTTTACAAATTAAAACAGGATTATATTTGGGACCCAGATGGCCCAGGAGTTAGTTCAAGCCACACCATTCAGCTGCCATTGTTTGAGCATTAGACCCATGATAAATTATTCATTTCAGTAGCTAAAGTTTCAGCTAATAATACCCGAATGTTGTTTTTTATCAAATCAATCAATAAATAAAACACCAGGAACATCCTAAATGCAGCGTTTTTGTCTATTAATACTTTTACTTGGTTTGCAGAAGTAAGTAATTAAATTTTAATGTTCAAATATCAAGGTGTCTGTAAGCGTGTTCTGTATATTAATTTCCTGAAATAATTTCATAAGTTTAACAGAAGCCGGCCACTGAGAAAGAAGTAAAGGTTGTGTTTTTTTTTCCTTTGCAGAGACTCCTTCCTACTCTGCTTGTTGAATAGCGGGACAAGCTTCCTATCTGGCTTTGCCATTTTCTCAATTCTGGGCTACATGTCACAAAAGCAAGGTGTTGACATTTCTTCAGTTGCAGAGTCAGGTATGAATATGAATCAACTCTGTGTCATTTAAAAATACTTAAAGGAGCAATATTTAATTATCTACTGAATTCAATCATAAAATGATCTTATTTTATCACCAGACATTAAGAAAAAATGCTATGTTTAAGTGCTGGCTTCTCTGACAACAATGCAGCACCCAGTTTGTCCTCCCTCTGTCCTCCCCTTTTTATTTTTTCCAGAGAAGGTACAGGGTTTTAAGGCACACCCACAAAGCTGTTTCAGACAGGCGGGCAAGCAAAATGCTTCAGATTTAACTGTCTGTACCTGACCTTAAAAGCCTCTGCATTTTTCTAATAAGCTCCATGACCAAAACTAGGATGTAGAGCTGGCTAAACACTGAAGCTTCCGTGTCAGCGACATGGCAACCTGCATGCACATCGACTCTAGGGAGGAGGGGGTGGAGGGAGACAGCTCTCTCCAATGTTTTGAATTTGGACTGCAGTACCATTTTTAAAATCTGTGTTACCAGATACATATTTCTCCTTACAACTTTCATAATATATGATGCTGTTTTCTGCAGGAAATGAAAGGAATTTGGTAAATGGAATACTTTCAATATAGAAAGAATAATATAATTTAAAAAATATAATTCAGTGGACTCCTTCTCTCAGACAGGATTCAAAGAAAGTACTGGAGCACACGAAGGCAAATTTATATAGGTACAAAGGAGTAACGTATCGATGCACTGCGTCTTCCTTCAGAGTTAAAACCTCAAAGAGTCAAAAGGAAGACGCAGTGCATTGAAACATTAGTCCTTAGCATCTATATAAAATTTGCCTTAAGTGATTCATGTTCTCCAGTACTTTCTTTGGATCCTGTCTGAGAGAAGGAGCCCTATTGATATAAATTAATAATTATATCTTGAACGTCAAAGGTCCTTCTCTGAGAGCACAAACCTCCATTTGTGGAGCGGCTGAAGAGCTAGCGTTTCCTTCTATTTTGCTAGAATAATATAATTATTAACGAAGTATAGAATTAGGTAACTCAATACAATCATTTGTTGTCATTAAGTATGACATGAAATTATTATCATGTGAATAAAGGAAAAATAAAGATAATGAATTTACATGACAATCTTGATTATCAAACATTTCCCTACGACAACATTTTACACCATACCTGAGTCATTGGATTCTCAATCTGATTTATACAACACAATTTTTAGTCTCCTCAGTATTGTGGAAAATGTGTTAATTGAATCTACCCCTACCTTACTGTACTCTCTGGCAGGTCCTGGCCTTGTGTTCATTATCTACCCACAAGCTGTGACCCTTCTGCCTTGGCCTCAGGCCTGGTCTGTGTGCTTCTTCAGCATGATCATCTTGTTAGGAATAGACGGTCAGGTCAGATGCAGCTTTGCTTAAATCTCCCCAAAATATCATGCAACAACCCTTCTTTTGTTAAGTGCTAACCAGCCTTCTCTGACTCTCTAGTTTGTTGGGCTCGAGTCCATCATGACATCCCTTGCAGATGTCTTCCCATCCCAGATCCGACAAGGGTACCGCAGAGAGCTGCTTCTGATGCTGGTCTGTGTTTGTTGCTATACACTTGGCCTGGTATTAGTGTCAGAGGTAAGTTTTCAAAGTACCCTATTTGGTGGTCACAGATCAGGTCAATTGCTTATTTGAGATAAATTTGCTGTCCATTAAAAAAACAATCCACAGCTGATTGATTACAAGTCCAATTCATTGGCTGTTTTGATTTCAGGCTGGCGCATACATTCTGCAGATCTTTGATCACTATGTATGCAGTGGTCCCACTCTTCTCCTGATGGCGGTCTTACAGTCACTGGTCATTGGATGGATTTATGGTGAGATACTCAGTGATAAGACAGTCTTTATATTTTTGGTATCACACTTTGAATAAGAGCCTTGCCCTAATTCCATTCTTTGTATTTATGTCAATGTTTTGAATGTCTAGCATTTATGCCCTTAAATTTAAGTGAACTAAAAGCTCTCAGTATGGATTCTTAGCTGGTAAGTTTTGGGTTTGTTGTTGAAGCAAGGATTAACTTCAAACACTGCTTTGAGATGCTTCAACGTATTATTGTATCTTTAAGAACCATCAAAGAAGAAAAAGGTTGCAAGTGTAACACAGTAAAAAAAAAGAACGATAACCCAACAGTAATCAATCAATGATCTAAAAATGACAAGACAATTAGTGTATGGAAATGTCTTAAAATGTACGAAGATACACTAAACAGCTATGAACCTAAAATAGGTTAAAAATGAAAGAGTAACGTTTGTTTTGGCCCCAGATCCGACAGAAATGTGCATTATCAGTGAAACTGTAGCTTTGTAGCAATGAAACCAACTAGAAGAAGAATATAATCTCTTTGTCTGTATGTTGCAGTTTTCTTTTTACAAACTACCAAAACTCCAAACATGAGTGCTACATAGTTCTGTTGTATTAGTAGTATGACGTTGGGACAGAGCCTGTGTAATGTATGTGTCCCTGTCCAAGGTGCTGAACGCTTCAGTGACAACATTGAGGACATGATTGGGTACAAGCCTCTGCCGCTTTTCAAGTACTGCTGGATGTATGGCACCCCTGCTATTTGCTCTGTAAGTTAGCACACTGGAATAGATCATATTCAAATAAATTGTCTCTTCCTTTTGTCAAACAGATTTAATATATTTATAATTGTATTGTTTTCTTTAAAGGGAACTCTTGTCTTTTTGCTTCTGAGATACACCCCCCTGAGGTTCAACAAGACCTATGTTTATCCTTGGTGGGCGTACGGTATTGGATGGTTTTTGGCCATGTCATCTGTTGTAATGATTCCATTGACCATGGTCTTCAAACTGGCCAAAGAAAAAGGGACTCTGTTGCAGGTGACTGTTCGTTATAAGTTATTGTATAGTTTTCAGGAGCATTTCAAGTTTGGTAATATATGTTTTGTTGCACATTTTGTTCTATTCTGCTGATAGGAATATGCTTTAATGATATCATTATCTTCCTCTAGCGTATCAAGCAAAGCCTTAAAGCAGCAGATGACCTTCCAGTGATGGCAAAGGAAATGGCAAGTTTCAGAGTCCCACTGAATGTTCGTGATGATAATAAAAATGGCAAAATGTAATGAACAGCCGGATCACCCTTACAAGGGGAGTTTATACAACATTAAGGCTTTATACCAATCCTTTTATTTTACAAATATATATATATTGATTTCTATACATGGTGGTAGTGCTCATTTATGGTTATGTGTTTCAGGTGAGGTGAACTGTGGCTTTAGTGTATTGAATGTGTAATAGTGTTTTATAGAACGTCACATTTTGTATGAGATTTTTACATTTATTTAGCAACCAACAACACTACGCAATTAAAAGATTAAATAGAGTAATGGTGTCCTGAGTAGAGAGAAATTAAATTTCCTCCTGGTATGTTTTGTAATCTGAGCTTTTCATTTCTAAGTAGCAGTTTATCATATTTTATACAAATGCATCACAGTAAAGTGACAGAAGGTTCTTTTGTCTGTTGGTTCACTTGTACCATAGACAGCAGGGCACTTTGTAGTTCTTATATTTCACTTATGGCTTATAGATGTATACAGTATTGCATTGTCTGTAATCATCTGCTTCTGGATTTATCTAGCACAAAATACCCAGATCTTTTCCCTCTCAGTGCACTGGGCCTGAGTCACTTTTCTTTTTAATCTAATGACAGTATGATGTCGTCTAGTGACACCATTAGGGGATCTATGGTGTCTGCATGTCCCAGCCGTTTTATAACAAACACAAAATCGTATTGCTGTCTATAGGCAGGGCATTACTATAGCTCCACATTGTTAAGATAGTTACTGTTCACATCACTTGTTATTAAATAAACTTGCTAACACTTTGAAATATACATAAATTCATGTCCTGAGATTATTCCAGCAGCTAATCAAAAGCATATTTACCAAAATGTCTAACTTTTTGTCCTTAGTGCTTAAGTATATTTGCATTGTGGTTTTTATATATTGAACATATATATATATATATATATATATATATATATATATATATATAAGGGGAACATTTTTAAACAAGGGAGTGATTTCTTACTTCTTACTTTGGGATCATAATGTGTGACATGGAAATGACTTAACACACTCTTTGTAACCTTGAGATAAAGTTGTTTACTTTCAATGAAGGATTATCAGCAGGCCTGTCTGTGACCTCAGTGACCTTCTGTACATATTTTCAATGACCCAAATCTTAACCGTGACCTATGACTTCTGTGACCTCTCGAGCTCTTCTCCGGTTCCTTTTCTATGTTGTTCTTAGTGTCCTGTTTGTCTGAATGAACAGCCTGAGCAGCAGTTATTCTGTTATTTACAGAGTAGGCTCCTTTCACACATGCACTTAACACCTGTTCATGTCTTGGACCTTAAAGGGGTCTTCTGCTTTTTCTGGTTTTATATGCTCTTTAGTGTGTTTTCCATTGTGTCCTGTGCATGTTTAGGCACATCTATGTGCAAAAATTCAAAGTCCGCAGAAAAGCGGCTTCTCCTATGTCCTCCTGTTAGCTGTAGCATTAGCTGCATGTGACGCTCGGTTCTAGCCCCCCTCGAAAAAAATTTGCCAGTGTGACGTCTTGTCAGTGTGATATCACTGATCTAAGCCCATTGGCTCGTTGTGGCAAGCCCAGCAGCTCATGTTGCACGCCCATTAACTGCCTGCGGTAGCACACTAGTGCTAAGGTGCTAATGTTTTTGCTCCCCTCGGAGCCAAAGTGGCTGCAATATGGTAAAAGGGGTAGGACATTTGCGAGAAACGTGCTGAGCGACTCACCAATTATGGCAGAGCCGACAGGCTGACCAATCAGATCAGACTTGGCACACGTGGGGACTCTGAACGTGGGCACTTCAGAGAGCGAGTCAGAAGCGAGCCGGTGCATAGAGCGGCAGTACATGAAAACAGACACTTTTTTCGAACTTTAGCTATTGTGGACATACTTTAGTAGGTACATAAATTAAATATATGAACCCCAAAAAGGGCATAATATGACCTCTTTAACCTGCAGGGCTGGTTTTGAGAACACAAATATCACATTTAGTTATGTAAACACGGCTCCAACAACAGTACAGCTGGCAGGCCTCATTCTTCTCACTCATTGTAGACAGTCATGACTTAGAGAGACATTTACAGAGGACATACTTGATTTCTGCTGGATTTATAAGTAATATGTCACACATTCTTCCTAAGTATTAACAGTCATTTTCAAAAGCAAACTCAAAGTAGAGACAGGTCAGGCAGCAGACATGCAGCCAGTATGCAGCTGTCAAACTCTGCTCATGCATGCTGTGTGAACTTGTGTAGTGTAAACGTCATCAGATATTATCAGGTATTGTAAAATACATTTCTTCTCTTTCTTACAAAGTGACCTCTAAGGAATACAAACTCTACAAGCACAAAACACAGGTTTGGTGTTTTTTATTGCTACTCAGATTATCTACACTTCCTTGTGACTGGCGTTGACAAAATCAAGGAGTGATAATGCTTATAATTTTCTTATGTTTTATATATATATATATGTTTTATTTTTATACCTTTTTTATCTATTTTTTTCCATCAAATAGAGACAGGCTTTTTTTCTTTTTTTTTGCCAAAATAGATATACCTCCTCAGAAGTGTTGAGCTGTACTTGCTGCTTAAATTTCTAGTATGACAAATCTAACAGTGCCTTAAACCCGACAGCTGACACTAACTTCACTGTTTTAGATTCATAGCATGTCCTTAGTTTTCTTTATTGGTGTTTTTTTTTTTTATATAAATGAGCTTTTCTTTATGTATCACTTATTTGTGGATGAAACTGAATAGTAAAATACTTAATGGAGCACTGTGGCTTGTTCATTTTGTGTTGATTTATGTGAGAATGTGAGTGATGGACGAGTGATCTGTATGACATAACTTGAGAACAACACAAGTCATGGCAAGAACAGAAAGGCTGTTGTCAAGAGGTAATCAAGAAGACAATGACTTTAGAGAAACGTGTAGAAGTGAGTTTGTATTTCTCATAACGGGTTGTGTAAAGTTCACAGATTCAAGCATGAAACAAGTGAAGGTGTCTAAAACTTGTCAGAACCACATGAATGAATTTGAACCCTTCCATGCTTTTAATTCTACCTTTCATACATTTATGAACTTATAGAAATTGTTCTCCAGGGCTGTCAGAAGATCTAACAGTCAGTCTTTCATAATGTGTTCATGGCAAACAAAAAGCAGGGCCCAGTCAAGATCACTTTTTTCTGATTCAGATTCCTCTTGTCTGCTCTAACAATTCTTCAATACCTACTGCATCTCTTCTTTGCAGCAGGGCTGCAATTAGTCACATCTACGATGTGGATAAATAGGCTCAATGTTTTATCAACTGATAACTTGGGTCTTTAAAATACATTATATGTGCACATCACAATGTTAAGAGGAACTTCTTAAATGTCTGTCAATTCATCCAAATGATTAAAACTGACACTATCCAGCCAACTATAAAAAGACCAACAATCAATGAATTTAAGTATAAGTAAATGATAATGATATAAAAACGGGCATTTGCAAAGTGTAACATGTACCATGGAATGACAGAATAATTGAGGCCAGGTCTTGCTGAACAGGTCGGATCTTAAGTATCCATAAACAATGAACCAGAAGTTTCAAACCTGAAAATTACTTTAGTGAAGTAGTCTGCAATTTAGAAAAAGATGCCGCCCTATTTTATGTTGTGACAATGTCTGTTTTCAATTTTTGTTTGTGTCACTCAGATTTAAGTGTTGCAAGACTTTAACGTTAATTAAGAAAAATGAATCTTGCACATTAAAAAATTTAACAAACATTTATTGAAAAAAAAAAAACCTGTATAAAAATGATCAGTATTTCTTTAATTTGCTACACTGCATCTGAC